GGAGCTTAAAGCACTTTGTCATTGATTATATTTTCTTTTTTCCATTTACATGTTTGGATGATCAAAACCACCCATTGACAGCATTCTCACTGCAGCATAACCATGGGCTTCCTAGCAATTTGTCAAGAGCAGGTAGCTTTGGCTTCTTTTATGCACCGCATGTTGTTATGAGTGAAGGTGGGAGGCACTCCTGGATGTCAGGAAAGCTTTGGCTTCCCTAATCCTTCAGATGAAATTCAGTTCGTTTCAACAACATTTCTTGGCTCCATCTTACCTACCAGGTTCTCTGCCATGTGCAAATCCAGGAAGAGATTGCATAGTCTAATCATCACATCATTCACTGCTTCCTGTTCTAATCCCAAACTTCCCTTGGCCAGTGACAATACCAGCTGTGCTGGCCTGCAGGATGAGGGAATGATTTGGTGGAGCCTGTTATCTCTCATTCTCATATGTGCTCTTTGGCCACAGTTTAAATAAACATGTTTCTCCCCTTTCCTTGTCCCATGGGGTGTGCACTGTTTTTCAAATCCACTTACAGTAGGTAATAAAATAGCAAAAGCAGGTCACTTGACATGCCTGGGTTGGGCTCTGATTTCTGCATCTTGACTCAGTTCAGGTATATGTTGATCTTGAAAAGCTTCTCTAGACATTCTTCTGTGCTTCAAGAAGGGGCCCCCAGTGACTCAGACCATCTCCCTTGTCCCAAGGTTCCCTGTGCCTCTTCGCCACCTATGCCCAATGGATAACATGGCTTCCTGCTTTACCAAGATCAATATGTACGTCTCAGGACCCCCTACTTTACCTTTACTTACAACGTCACTGCCACTACTGTTGTCTCTAATTCCTCCCCAGTAATCTTAGGGAAACGGGGTTCTTTCCTCAGGAAAATGAACCTCTCCCTGCATATCTCAGATGTCATTCTTCTTTCAGCAACCATTCTCTCCCCTCCACCTCAAGATCTCTGAGTCCCTCAGCCTGTTCCTCAATCTCTGAGCTTAATTAGCTAGAGTCCTCTCAAGGAGGGGACCCTCAAGCCTAGAGACCTTCTTTTCCTTTGCTTACTGTGGCATTTCATCTTGCTGGATCTTCTCCTATTTCTCTAATTACTCTTTTTCTGTTCCCTGTGCTGATTCTGGCCTCAGCTCTCTACTCTTCCCACACTATTCTTACTCCCTCATCCATTCATCTATTCATTCATTTGAGTCCCCTATGAAGAGGACCTAATATCTGGCTGGCACCAATCTAGGCACAGGGTTACAAAAGTGAACATAACAAACAAGGCTGCTTTCATGGGAGAGAACATCCTAATGGAAGGAGGCAGAAAATGAGCAAGTACCTAAATTGGAAATAAGATAATTTTGGATAGTGAGATAAGGCATAGAGAACAAGAAACAGGGTAATGAGACAGAAAGTAACTTTGGGTGAGGGAGATGAAAGAAAACTGGTTTTGAGTGATCAGGGAGTGCCACTCTAAGGTGAATTCATTTGAGGCAAGACCAAAATGACAGGAAACAAGCCACAGGGTGGAGGGCATTTCAGGAAGAGAAGGCGTCAAGGGCAAAGGCTGTATTAATAACAATAATAATAATGGGAAATAGTAATAATGGGGAAAAGCTTGATAAGTATGAGGTACATTTTTAAAAAATTAAGTGCAGCTGAAACATCGTGGACAAGACAGACAGTGGTAGACATGAGCGCAGAGACATAGCCGGGGCACAGGACCAGCTTTGTTAGGCCATGGTGAAGAGTCTAGATCTTATTTCAATGCAGTGAGAGGCCATGCAAGGGCTTTTAGCAACAGAAGTTCATAATCATATGGAATACAAAGATTGCTCTGTCTATTGTTTGGGGAATAGAACGTGTGGTTTCACTCATCAGCTACAAGGGGAGAATGATCATTAAATTGGAAAAGACCAAGCAAACATCAGCAAAAATGGATTGAAGCCAAAATGGAATAAAAGAGGAAGATAATTTAAATGAGCTAAAAACTCTCAGAACAAGGCCAAATGTGCTGCAGAGAACTTAAGGTAATTGCAACGGTGCCTGAGAGCCATTGCCAAAAAATCAAGGGAAACAGCAGAAGACTGAAGAGACCAAATGCTCCTATTTTCAATCAAGGAGAGGACAGGAGTTAGAAACTAGCAGCAAAATCCTCTAAGTGACAATCCAAAATGGGGTTGGTAAACATTTAGAAAGAACATTATGAATATCAGCAGTCAGCATAAATAGACATTAAAAATTATGTAAAGCTAAGCCAGTTCCTGCTGTGGTAGTTGTCGTGATGGTTGATAAAATGATCAGAATGAAAATATGTCAGTCACTCTATGTATCGCAATCTTGGTGAGACTTTCAATAAAATCATAGAATCTCAAAGATGATTGGAAGAGTATCATAATCTATTCCAAATTTCTAACCTATAGAAGATTTTTTCCCCCTAAACATTCCAGCAATTGTTTGGATAACATCTGTGTGTACATAATAAAAGGTAATTCATTCCAGTTTGGAATGGTTTGAAATGTATTACTGAAAATCTGTTTCCATGTGAATGTTAACCATTGATTCTACTTCTTTCCTGTGGCTTATAATACATCTAATTCCTCTCACGTACACCTTTTATTTTAAATTTTCAGAATGTGTCATGCTATACACATGGAAAATAAGGAGATGTGTTTGGGTATGTATTTATGATTGAGCAACTGTACTAAAGAAGTTTAATTAGTAGCTCATTGTCAAGCTAGAGTGAAGTCTTTAGAATCATGCCAAAGGGCTCTCTTTTTATTTTTTCCTTTTTTTTTTTTAAGTAAAATTATGTCTGGATTAAGGAATTGTCAAGCCTAGAGATGAAATAAAGTGAAAGAAGAGAGATATATATTGGGTGATTGAATCTGAAGTCAATAAAAGTATTAACAGAATATGATGCTTGGTTGAAACAAATAAATTTTAATAGCAATAAGTGCAACATTGTACAATAAAATTTCCAAAATTCCCTGTAAAAGTACAAAATGAATCTGCAACAAGTCAAGTGAAAAATACTTAGGGATTTTAATTAAATATAAGCTCATTATGACTGAGATGTGGCTGTAAATTATTTTAACAGATATACCCTCTAAAACAATGTGGCCATAATTCCTCTGGATTTATGCCGGTCAGACCACACAGGAAACATAAGTTCCTGTTCTGAATGTCACTTGGAGAATCATGCTGACAAACTAAAAATCCTCATGAGAAAGCAAACAGGGTGGCTAAGGGTTGGAAACTACTAGGAAATACACTGAAGAAACTGAAGAGGCTTGGGCCCCAACAAAAAAAGTCTTGGGGTGAGGCGTGGGGAAGCATATCTCTTTTTAAGAGAAAACAGTATTAGGACCACTTAATGGAGTTTGGGGAGGGAGGGGGAGTGTACAGAATTCAACCGAATATAAAGAACTTCCTTAAATATTGCAAGGGATGAACTTGTGAAGCAGAAAGCTCTCTTCACCGAGAATGGTCAAGCCCATTCATCAGGAATGTTCTTGGGGGAAAGCAGGTTGGATTAGGTCAACTTTAACTTCCCATCCAAGTTTAACACAGTATGCTTCAAGGGCTGGTCCTCGGAACACCATAGGGCTGATGGCCTGGTGGCTCCCTGCCCAGGAAGGTCCCACTGGGGACATCCTGTTGCTCTGTGGTGTGTTAGGAGGGAGTATTTCCTGCGCGTGGTTCACTTACAGTCAGCTGTCACTCTGCCGCTCCCTTTTGGAACATCAGTGTTAAGCTTCCTCTTTTGGAAAGAGAGCAGCAGAGGATAAGATGGGGGCTGGATGAACCTTCCTTTCACTTCAGTTCCAGGCATTCCCAACCTGTTATGTCAATTTGAGTTTATAACTGCATGTAAAGGTTCAGGTTTCCCTCCCAGAGATGGGGCGGAGGCACTCAGCTGCTAGGACGAAGGAGTGGCTCATAGTTGGAAGACACCGAGCAAAGCTATCTGCTTAGGGGAAAAAAAAAAACGTTAAGCAAAAGGGAGGACTGCGAAGAACCTGGGGAAGGGCAGAGGAGGAGCCTTCTCCCGGTCGCCACCACCACTCTCGCCGACGTTTTGGATCACCTCCCCGGTGATGAGGTGAACATGGAAACAGGTGCGCCTCGCTCACACCCCGCTTGCCCTCAGCGGGGCTTATCCTGCTGCGTTCGCCGTCCGGAACCGAGTCGTCGCGGCTAGACAAAGGCCGGACAGGGAGAGCTGGAGGGGACGGGGTCGGGCGAGCAGAGCCGGGAGCCGTGTACTGTACATTGGAGATGACATCATCGCCTGAAAGGGACTCCGCCTCCCCCTTCCCGGAGCTGGAGCGAGCGTGTCTGCGCGGGAACAGGAGTGCGTTCGCCTGGAGGGTGCGCGCCGGCGCTCGGGGGTGCAGGAGAGGGAGCCCTGGCCGGGGCGAGCGAGCCCGCGAGCCGGGGAGTCTCCGGAGCCAGAGGGGTTCGCGCGGCCCGGCTCCGCCCCCGCTCGCGCCGCGCTCCGCCCCGGGAGGGGCACGCCTGCTAGTGGGTGGGGAGCGCGCTGTAGGGGAGGGTCTGTGGTGGCGGCGGGGGCGGAGAGCCGCCTGCGCATGTCAAGGCTGACAGAGCACGCAAGCCGGGGGGCCTGGAGAGGGGCGGCTGATCGCCCGCCACCCGGGGTCGGGGCTCCGCACCATCGGGGGCGAGCTCCGCGAGGGACTCACCCTCTCTACCCACCCCCCACCTCTGAGGTCGCCAGCCAAACGGGGGCTTCTGCCTCCTCCCCGCCCCTCGGGACCTCCCCCGGGAGCCGAGGGCGGGTGTGGACGAGACCGACGTGGAACGAAGTCTGTAGCCCAGACGGGCGGCCCAGGTGGCCTCGGGTGTGAGGACACGCCCAGCTGGAGACGCCGGCCAGGGCGGATGCAGCCGGCGCTCGGTCTCGGCGGATCCTAGTCGGAGCGTAGCTGTTCCTAGGGGAGCCGAGAGGAGAATCGACGTGGACCCCCTGGACAGCCCAGCCTCCTAGGACCGCCGGAGCGGAGCTTCCCCCGGGCGCAAACGAGAAAGGCCGGGAGCAAGTGGAATTTGAAGTTCCGGGGTGGGCGGGGAAGCTACTGTCCTTGGTGCTGAGCCGGATCCCCGCAACCGGCTCCGGGGAGAGCGCGCGGAGCTGCGGCTGGCTCCCCCGAATTGGGGCGGTCCGCTCGGGAAGCTTCGAGCAGAAACCCCCGCCCGGCTCCAAAAGCCCGCAGAGCCTCCCCAGGCACGGGAGCTTGGTCCTTCTTTCAGTCAGAAAGTCGCCCCCTTGGGGCAGTTCGTCCCAAAGGGTTTCCTCGAAAGAATCTGAGAGGGCGCAGTCCTTGACTGAGGGAATCTCTCTGTTTAGCTCGGGAGCCAACAGCTGGAGAAGATGCCTGCCTTCAACAGATTGTTTCGCCTGGCTTCTCTAGTGCTCATCTACTGGGGTAAGTACCAGCACCCTGGCATGCGAGAGGCAGATAACAGTAATAATGCTAACCATAATAACACTTATCGATGTCGCTGGTGACAAGAAGGAGCTCTGGTTGGCTTTCCTCCGTGCTTGTCTGCCAGACATGGAGATCCGCAGGGATTCCATGAGAGCTGGGATTCTGAGGTTGAAAGGCGCCTCCCCACTGCCCTGCTGCTTTATTCCCCGGCCTCCTTTGGTGATTCTACCACCATTCCTCCAGGTTCCTGATAATTCCAAAGTATTTTTTTTTCCTTCCCCTTTGCTGAAAGGAAATGTAGTCACGTTCACTATAAAAAAAAAAAAAAGGTCTTATTTGCAGTTACATTTCGTTTCTTAATGAAGAGTCAATACTCCTGGAAAGCTTGCTGGGTCTTCAGATTTATTTTTCTATCTTAAAAAAAAATAATGATAATAATGAAAGCTTGATGGATGAATTTTGAAAGTGAAAATACTTTAGTTGTTGATCATCTACTTAATTTTCATAAGGAATGGGGGAAAAACAGGCTTCAGCCATTTGCTGCTATGCCTTAGATACGTAGGCAACGGTAAACTGCATCTTTCTTTGTTTTTTTTTACATGGACATGTGGAACTATGATGCTTTGGTGTTTGGGGAGCTGGGTTTTTGCCTTCAAAGATGAATAGACTCTTGCTTGTCAGCTGTGAGAGACTGAGGTGACCTTCCCCCTCCAAATAAGGGAGTGTTACACTTGCAACAGTCAGGAGAGTGTCAGAGATGGTCTTGGAGTGGGGTGCCTGAATGTGTGTAAGGGGAGTTAAGAGTCTACGTGATAATGCCTGAACAAGTACTGGACACAGTGTTTTACTGTGTGTAAATGTATGTCTCAGTGTGTGAATGCATGCACTAGCGTGTGTCTGAGCACGTTATTATAGACATTGAATGGATTGGTGAGAGCGTAGTAGTGTGTGTGTGTGTGTGTGTGTGTGTGCGCGCGCGTGTGTGTGTGCGTGTGTGTGTGTGTGTGTGTGTATGTGTGTCTGGTTCTGGGCATCTCTGCCTTGGTGTCTATGATTAGATCCTCAGATCAATATAGGTGCTCTTCAGTTGATATATGGCTTTACATAATCTTAGCTACCTTCCTCCATGCTATCATCAATAAACAGGATAATTGGACACAATTATCCCCACCTGACTTACTGAAAGTAGGCATGTGGGTTTGTGCTCTCATGGTTGGCATGAAACTCATTCTGCCTGTGCAGTAGCAGACATGCTGATGGGAATTGCCTCTATGCCTTAGCATCACTTTGTCAAGCCTCCAGGACTAACTCTAGCTGCTAGCATTTTCTGGATTTTGCATGTGACCAGAGGCAGAACCAAGCTTCCTGTTGGACAAAATGCCCAATGAGACAGTCTGGGAAGTTCGAAGAGAGACAATAATGCCAGCCCCAAGGGCAGACTTACTGCCAGCCATCCCCAGTAGAGTAGACCAGACCTGGAGATGAAGCAGATATAATAGGCTGCCAATGATCTCACCTGCCTTGTAGATTAAGGCTGAGATTTTCTCAGGGAAGGCTAAGGCTAGGGACACAAGGCTTAGGAGAGGTTAGTCTGGATAAAAGAGTATGGATAAACTGAAATTATAGGAAAAGGTTTGGGTGAGATTCTACAGAGGCTTTCTTCCTAAACCCTAATCTAAGTTTTTAGGGTCCCTGCCTGAATTCCAGTTGATGGAGAGAGCATGCTATAGTCCAAGAATCTTTTGACTAGGACATGCACAGCCTGCATTAGGGTCTTGGCTCCACAACTAGCCTACTGTGTAAACGACCTTAAAGTACTATCTGCTTCCTGATATATAAAGTTTGGGAGCTGGCACAAATGAGATCTAACATACCCTACAGCTCCACCACTAAAATGGTATGGAAATATTTACAGAATATTGCTAGAATTGTCAGAGTGTCCATCCCCCTGACCTTTACCCCCCAACCCCCCCAAAAAAACTTTTTCAGATGAATACACATTCTTACTTGTTCTCAGCTTCTTTGTGATCTGAACATTGTCTCACCAAACTGAAAAGCTGAGGAAGGGAAAGACATGTGGTGCAGGATGCCTGGTTGTTACATGTAAGAAAAAGAGCCTCACTTCACAAATGCAATTTCATTTTATTTGTATGTAATTCCAATATTGGAAAGTACTTAACTTAGATGCATTCCCCCTCCCCAAGTTGATTTTTTTACACCATGCCCAATATGAAAAGAGTCTTTTCTATTTACTTTCTGCATGTATTGAAAAAAGTTCTCTTATTCCCTTTATTGAAGTACATAATAATATATTTTTTAAAAGCTGCATTTGCCTGGTGCTTTACGGTTTACAAAGCAATTTTCAATCCCTTGCTTTTTTTTTGGTCCCCATATCAATCCTATGGGGTAGTCAGGGGAAAGAGTGTTATTCCCAGTTTAGAGATGAGAAAATGAGCTCAGGGAAGGGAAAGGATTTGCTGGAGAATCCTTATCTTCTGATTTCTATTTTCCAGTGCTCCTTCTAGCACCTCTTGTGGACACATGCCGCCATGCACAATTGCCAGGAAGGCACCTGTCCTTCCATCTCTCTTCTGAGCCACCCTCCCACCTTCCCCCATGCCATCACCTGTCCTAGTGCCATCCTTTAGATCTGAGTGCCCTCTTTGCTCTTCCTCTCCAGGTCTCCCCTCCCAGCTGCCCGCTATGTTGGAGGATGTTTTTGCTACTTCCCCTAGTAGCCCTCCCTGCATCCCATTCCTTCAAGGCCTTGCTAGGTGACTGGCTAATCTGATAGCCTGAGTCATTTCAGGGTGTTAACATCTAAAAATAACTTCATTTATTACCTCCTTTTGGAAATTATTTAAATTCTAATCAAAGCCTTCATTATCTCAGTGCAAAGGAAAGCATTCTAGAGCAAGCTCAGGAGGGGCCATTTGGCAATGTCTAGAAAAAAGAAATATTTGGGGATATTGGAGGAGTTGGTTCAATACACATTACTATCCACCTCATGATAGATTGATGCTACTCCTTAGTTAAATTTAATCATCATTATTACATCATATTCTTCCTTCTCATACGTTTCTTCGTTATTATTATGGAAATCGAAGAGAAGACCAAAGGCCAAATGATTTGGGCAATATTATTCCCGGAGTTTATCATTTACAGTCAGCAATGTGAGTTGAGCTCCTGCCACATGCACAACCCTTTCTTGGATACCTAGAGAGTTTCACAGAAAGAAAGGCAGTGACGTGCTAGAGACGCAAGGGGTGGGGAAACAGACTTCAGCTCTTGAAAGAGGGAGCAGCAAGTCACAACATGAAAGGCAAGCAAACAGAGTGGGGAGGACCCTGTGGCCATTCTGCAGTGTGCTCTCCAGGACTGCACGAGCAGAGTTCTCATGCCTGGAAACCGGGCTTTGGCCAGGAGACGGGAAGCACTGGGGCTTGCTCTATGATAATTCCTTGAATTATTGTCACCTCAGGAGCAGCTTGGAAAAGAGAAGGGCTGCTCCACATGATGTCCTACCACATTCACCATCCTGACTGCAGACGTTTGGCCTCTCCTCTAACTATGCATGAACTGGCTGTGCTCCACCTCTGCCACCCCATGTACCTGGTCAGTAGAGCACATCACTGCTCACCTGTTCGAGGATGTTCATCCGGCAAATTATTCCCTTTCGAACCCCACTAGTTCCACTGCCAACTGTACCAGCCTCTTAACTGTCCTCTCTGCTTTCACCCTCGTCCCCGTCACCTCTTCAGTTTCTTTTCAACCCTGCATCAGATCATGTGATCTTGCACAAAGCAGATTCCATCATTCGTCCACTCAGAACCCTTCCCTGCTCACACGTCACTCTACGCAAAAGCCAAGGTTCTAACCACGGCTGACGAGACCCACCGCGATCTGGCCCTGCCTGGCTCTTCTACTTCACACCCTTCTACTCTCACTTTGTTTACCGTACTTTCCACAGTGTGCTCTTTGCTGTCTCTTGAACATGACAAACACACTCTTGTGGGTGCCTTGGCCCCTCAAGTCGCTATATCCTCTGTTTGGCATGACTTCACACAGATATTCTTACAGTTTATATGCTCATTTCTTTCCTCTGGTGTCTGTTCAGTGTTACCTTCTCAGGGAGACTGGCTCGAATGACCCAGTGCAAGCTCTGTCTCCTCTACTCTGTTTTATTTTTTCTCATAGCACTTTTTATAATATTGCTCGTTTTCCTAATCTCCCCACTGGATGTAGGCTCCGTGAGGGTAGTGATTGTGCTATTTTTTTTTCCTGTTGTATTCTCAGTACCTAGAACGATGTCCGGCACACAGTAGACACTCAGTATATTTGCCAAATAAATAAACAAATAAATGAAGAAGAAAATAACATGAATAAGTGACATTTGTACAAAGCATGTTCATGTACATTAATCCATAGAACTCTCATGACAAACCTACTAGATAGATATTATTTTCAGCGTTTTGTTGATGAATATACTGAGTCTCAGACAGTTTAAATAGTAGATCAAACTCAGGTCTTTCATTGCCAAATTCCATCTTCTTCCTGCCTCTGTAATTGTAACTGTGCGTTCCTTGGAATTTTTCCTAATCTGCTTCTGAGGTCGTCAACATTGAACTAACTTACCTTTATCACTTATCATTACATATGAATGTGCCCTAAGGCACAAAACTCACAAACTTTTGCACATCGCATTTTTTTAAAAAAAAAAATATCAGGTCTATAATCAAAACTTCAAACTTATTACAAGCTGAAGATGTTTCTGATCAGTTCTCCCTCGATGTGGACTCTCTCTCCAAAAAAGTGCTGCTCTACCCGCAGAAGCAGCAGGCCCTCTTGCAGAGTGCCACATAAGATTGGCCAAGCTTGCTTGAGAGTTTAAAAATCAGTTACATTTATTTTTCCTTGATTTTTTTAAACTTTAAAGTATAGTGCCACTAGTTTTTAAGCTCCATGTTTAAAAATGAAATTTGTTCCTTTCTACATCCATGAAACACAATATTTAATTTTTTGACTCAAAATTAGTTTATATCACTGTTCTTTTATGCTTAAATAAAGCTTTCCTCTGCTTTTAGAAAAGAACAGGCTCATCATTTACTAGTTTTTAAATGTCAATGTATATCATTTCATTTTTCTTTTTAGGGGTTTTGTTTTTATTATTAATTCATGAGAAGGCAGCATCAGAAGGGACATTGGAAGTCCTGATAGAAGAATCCTTGGTGGTCACCTTACTTTTGAATCTTGCAAACAATGAGGTGTAAACTCTCTTACCAAATAGTTTTTTGCATTTGTGAACAGCTTCAACACCAGACAATTCTTCTTTTTTTTTTTTTTTATTGTACTAAACTTATTTTTTTCTTATATCTTCTGGAGTTGGGCAGAATCCAATTTCTCTTCCACCTGCCAGCCTTCAAAGAGTTGAAGATAGGTATGTCCTGGGTCCAAGCTAAACACCCCAAGTCCTCCCATTTGGTCCTCGCCAGACTTTGTGGCCAGACCCTTCACTCTCTTGCTTGCCTCTGGGCAGCCCTCACTGAACAGCTTCCTTTTGTGAAATGTGACATTTTGCACTGATCATAATAGTCCAGATTTGTTCTGAACAGTGCAGAGGAACTGCTCCTCCTTCCTTCTGCACACCCTACATCTGTTAACACAGCCCACATTTGCACTTGTTTTGTTGGCAGCCTTGTCTTGCTTTTGACTTATCCTGAATTTTTGATCAGAAAGTTTCCTTTTTACAATGGGCTTTGCGTTTCTGGAGGGCAGGAAGTATAAGTACAAACCTTCGTGTGACAAGCCAGGTGTCCCACAGTCTGATCTCTTTTCAGGTTTCAGCTCTGCCTCTGTCTACTCCTCTGCGTAGAGCATTGCTCCAGCCTTGTGGTCTGCTCACCACTTTCCTCACTGCTGCTCCATCCTCCACCATGAGGCAGAATTACCTACAGTTTCATACAATGCAGATAGGATTCCATCTCTTCCTGGCTTTAAAACATTTGATACTTCATACTGGAAAGGGTGCACAGAGGTCTTCATAGCATGGGCCCCACCTACTTCGCTAAGCTCATGTCTCACCATCCTTCTCTTCCTTTCTCCGTAGCCTAACCAGTAGTAACTAACTGCCCTTCCTCTGGGAAGATAGCACATCACTAGTGTGTCACTTGCTGCGGTCTGGTGTAATCACAGTTAGGAGTATGTGTTCTTTACTAGATTATACATGCCTTTGGGGTGTGGTATTTTATTCATCTTTGTATCTCTAGCGTCAGACCTGGCATAGAGTGGATTCCAGTGAATGGTGGTTGAATGACAGGAGTGTGTGTGTGGCGGGGGAGATGGATGCTTGATGGGTGGATGCATGCGTGCCCGTCTCCTACTGGGACTTAGAGGGCTTAGAGGGCAGGGCTCAAGTACATACTGTGCTGCATCTCCACTGCTTCCAGGAGAAGGCTCTCGGTCAGTGTCTAGATCATCCATGTCTCCTCCATCTCACTCTGTACCTGTTCTGAGCATGTACACTCAGGATGCACAGGGGAGATGTAGACACATGCACACGGCTGTTTTCAAGTTTGTCTCATGATTCTTCCTTCTCTGTCTCTCCGCCCTCCCTCCTTGTCTCCAATGCCTCTCTGCTGTCGCCCCCTCCCTACCACCTGCTGTTCCCTCCCTGTCATCGGTGCTCTCTCCAGTCAGTGTCTGCTTCCCCGTGTGTGTGGAAGTGCCCTCGGAGACGGAGGCCGTGCAGGGCAACCCCATGAAGCTGCGCTGCATCTCCTGCATGAAGAGGGAGGAGGTGGAGGCCACCACGGTGGTAGAATGGTTCTACAGGCCCGAGGGCGGTAAAGATTTCCTTGTATGTCTGCCTGCTGACTCTGGCCTCTCTTTGCTGGCCTCTGTGGTTGTGTGCCTGCCTCCTTACAGCCCCGGGGATGCCAAGCTAGCAAACACTGGCTCTTTCTCTTCCAAGCACTGACAGCACCTCAGCAGATAACTGGCAGTTTTAGTTCAGCCCAGCTTCTGTGCAAGGAAGGGCATTTGGCCAAGTGCAAGCACCCTTGGTTGCAAGCAGGGAAAGGAGGAGAAAGAGATAAACTTTATTTAAAGCCTGCTATGTGATAGATACCCTGTCAGGCAGGTGTTTTCATTTAATCTTATGCGCCATCTCCCTAGATAGATTAAATTCATATAATGATGCTTTCTGAAATAATAGGAAGCATTATTATACAAAATAACGCAGGTTAACTTCTTTAACTTTCACAATCCCAGTGAAACAAGAACAGGGATGACCCAGGCTGGTATTTGACTGTTACGCCCCAGAACAGCCACATCAGTGGGTACACTATTTAGATTGTTCTATAGCGGATACTTGCTTCGCCAAATCTCGCAAGTGGCCCCACCACCGTCCTTCCCACCAGGAACCCCCAGAGCTCCCCGTGATCTAGAAACTAGGGGATTCACCACTGGTAGGTGAAGTGCTCATTATACATTCTGAACACCACCTTGGAGATGACAATCATTTACACATCCACTGACTCCAGAGCCAGGTTGCCTGGGTTTGATTCTTCACTCCACACTTATTAGCTGTGTCCTTGGACAGGTTACTCAACCTTTCTGTACCTCAGGTCCCCATTTTTAAAACAAGGATATAAACCATAGTTTTTACCAGGATACATGAGCTACAGTTTTTAATGCATTTAAAATAGTTCCTGGAACATAGTAAGCACCGTACTAAGTGTTTGCTAGAGAAAAGATATGTATACAGAAACGAGGAAACTGAGGCTCAAAGAAGGTAGTAAGAAAGCTTAGATGTGAGCCAGGTGGTCTGACAGCAGACACAAGACAGTTGAATACACAGGTATTCTTACTGCACCCCTTGCCTTCCTGGGGGCAAGTTTCTCCTCCCCAAAGATTTGTTAATGGAGACAACAGCCGGATGACCTTGAGTTTTGCTTGCTCTTCTTTCTAGCTTTCCAAAAGCTGAACTCCTTTCTAATCTAGGTTCCATGTGCCATTGGGATGTAGATTTGCTCCAGTCAGGTGCCAAGACTGGGAGCAGTAGAGACTCCCCAGTCTGGCTCAGGCTCGACAGCAACACGTCAGCAAAGCTGCACCCAGGGCCAGTCCCCAGCTTGCAGGAGGCTGCATGTCTTGGCCAGATGCAAAGACCCTGTGGGCCTCAGGCCTGGCCATGTGCCCGCTGCCTACACTGCTTCCGGGCCTGCCCAAAGTGAGGAGAAGGTGGCTCTGAAAGAGGAAAAGGAACTAGAACAACAATGGTGGAAGTCCAGAGCAATGCCATCCAATAGAAATGTTCGTGTTGCTAGAATGTTCTCTACCTGTGCTGTCCAATACAGTAGCCACTAGCCACATGTGGCTACAAACACTTGAAATGTGGCTAGTGAGACTGAGGAACTAAATTTTACATTTTATTTAATTTCTAGGAATTTGACTTTGAATTTAAGTGGCCACATGCAGCTAGTGGAAACTAGAATGCACAGCACAGCTGCAGAGAAAGAAAGGTGTGTCGTGTCAGATGGCAGAAGGGTTTGAGAAAAGAAATGTAAGAGACCAGATTTCAGTTATAATTCAGCCCAAAGCAAAAAACCTGGCATGCACCTCTCAGGCTCTGTGTTCGTCTGCCATGCTTCGGTGTTCCGGGTCCCCTCCGGTGGCTGGCCCAGATTGCCCCGTGGGCCCCTGATAAGTGCCAGCTTGGAGAGACCAGGGCTCTCAGGTGTCCTCATTACTAACGAAACTGCCTCTCTTGGTCTCTGCACCTTGTTCTCTCACCGGCGGCCCCATGACACACCCTGCCCTCTCTCTGTCCTCTCCTTCTGTCTCCTTCCCATCCTTTCTCTCTCTCAATTCCTTCTCCTGGTCTTCCATATGCTACTCTCACCTCCTCTGTTCTGCCTCTTTCCACCCCTTTTTCTCTGCCAAGCTCTTGCTTACCCCTTGCTGCCTAGAGACTCTGTGCCTTTTCTCCATGCCCCACCCCCAAATTCTGGCTTTCCCAGGAACACGTCCCTCCTCTTCCCTGCCCATGCACAATTCTGCTCCTTTTCTCTGCCCTGCCCCCATCTCGGCTCTCCTACCCTCTGTCCTCTCCTGGCCTACCCTCTTCTGCTCCTCTACCTGCAGATCTATGAGTATCGGAATGGCCACCAGGAGGTGGAGAGCCCCTTCCAGGGTCGCCTGCAGTGGAACGGGAGCAAGGACCTACAGGATGTGTCCATCACTGTGCTCAACGTCACTCTGAATGACTCCGGCCTCTACACCTGCAATGTGTCCCGGGAGTTTGAGTTTGAGGCACATCGGCCTTTTGTGAAGACGACACGGCTGATCCCACTCCGGGTCACCGAGGAGGGTGAGGCTGAGACACAGGGTCTCTAGGGCATCCTGCTTTTTGGGGGCGGGGGTGAGGGGGAGTAGCAGATTGTCACACAAGTGAGACCCTTGGAGAGCACAAAAACTCACGTATTTGGAGTGGTGACATCTGAAAATGTCACTGTTGACCCATCTTCCTTTGGCAGCCAGCTTCCTACAAACCGCCCAACCATCTTGCCTCCCTATGCCTTTCCTCATAGCAGAGAGTCTTGGAGATGACAGTAGAATGACCTCTTCCCGGTCCCTTAGAGAAAGAGGATGGCCTCCACGAGGCCTAAAGCTACCGATTCAGCTACTCTTTCTTCTCTGGCCGGCGTTGAACCCCTGATTCAGTGGGCTCTGAGATATCTCATGAGGTTATCTAGAAGTCATCTCACTTCCTGTCTGTAAATAATCCATGTCTCTAATCCAGTGGTTTTCAAACTTCGGCAAGCCTCAAAAACTCCTGCAGGGCTTTAAAACCCAGATCTTCTGATACCGTAGGCAGGCCTGAGTGTTTGCACTGTCTAACAAATTGCTGGGCCACGTGGTTGCTGCGGGGGACCACACTTTGAGAACCACTCTCTAAACCAAAGTTTGGGAATCTTTTTGTCTTTTGCCTTTCTCCAAAATAATTACACATGCAACCCCTTCCCTATCTGTGGCACCTCTCACTACATAAATTCATTCTTAGCTGAGGGAAGAGGATAAGTTGATAGCTTTCTAATCTGTAGTTTAAAATCTTCAGACTCCTACAGCTATTTCCTTATTAGTGAGTGAGAAGTCCTTCCAGCAACCAAACTCAAATATTTCTGTTGCAATCTGAGTTCAGAATCCTGAGGGTGACGTTATAGCCCTTCTCAGACAGTCTATTTCCAGCGTGTTCGTAGCATTATCACGGCCCTGAGATGCAGGCTAGTGAACAGGCCACAGTGTGGGGCATGAAAGAAGAGATCAAGCCAAAGATAGGGCTCTTCCTAGAAGAAGGATCCAGGAATCCCAACCTCCAGGCCACAAGTTTACTTATTTTTGTATCATGTCATCGTGATAAAAATAATGAAGCAAAGATTGTTCAGTCTTGAGAGTAAACGAAGGAGAAAGAGACGTAACGGGTCAGACGATAGAATTGCAATGGAAGGTAGGTCAATTCTGAAAGTGCAGAAGGACTCTCCGGCCACCTGAATCAAGACCTGATAAGTCACTTCCCTTCTCTGAGCCTGTCTGCTCTTATCCTCTTGTGTAAAATGAAGGGGTTGGACGGGAAGCTCTCTAAGGTACCCTCCTGTTCAGGTTCCATTATCCTCTGTTTACACACCTCTCCTCCCTGGGGGGCGGGAACCTGAGCCCTCTACTGGTCACCATTGGGAACTGCCGGCTGGTGCCAGCCAGACCCTAGCAAGGTGCCTGTCTCTACCTTTGGCTCTCTCAGGCTTTTGCCTCCAGGGACCCTCGTGCGCAGCTGGTGGAAAGTGGCAAAGCTGAGCTAGTCCACCTGCCAGGCACCAGAGCAAGCCTCCGGTAAAAAGGGAAGGAAAAACAAGTTTGTTATCAGAACCACTGTGCTTCGCAGATGGTTGGTCTGGGAGGATGCTTGGATATTTTTTAATCCAGGGCTTCTGAACAAACAGCAGGCATCAGAATCACACAAATTGGCTTTCTCCAAATGCTGACACTTCCGTACCCCCCTTGCAGGTGTGAGTTCAGTAGGTTTGGGTGAGGTCTTGCGTGCGTAAGTTGAAATGGCTCCCCAGGTGATGGGCGGGTGCAGCTCAGGTGCCCCTCATTATGCGGCTCGGGGAACAGAGCTCTGCAAGAGCGAGAACCTTGTTCAGGGACAGGAAGCAAAATAGCACCAGAAGCAGAACTGGAACCCAGCGCTTTTGCCTATCAGGCTGGCTCTGGTTCCACTGCCTCCTTCCCCCCATCACCATCCCCAGGCCCTGCTACTTTTTCTTTTCTTTTTTCTTGCCTCTGTGACCCCTTGGCGGTCCTTCCCACCAGATACTCACTGCCCTCATATGCTCAGAGCTGCACACTCCACTGTGACACCCCTCACCCCATCTCCATTCCCATGATCCCAGGGAGTCCCCCTGGTTCTCTTTGTTTAAGTTGGATTTGTCCTGACTTAGGCTGTCACTTCTTGGCCCCACGACAGAAACCTGAGGCCTCTTCACCTAGCAATGACTAAAAATACTGAGGATATCTTCCTGTGTTACTACTTCTGGGCTACCGCATTCAGAAAGAGACAGCATGCTTTGTGCCAAACATGTCACAATTAGTGCATCAGGCAGTCTTTAGCCCTTGAGAAGGCATTTGAGGTATATGGTGGTATTCTTATGTGCTAGCTGAAGGTCATGGCTGGCTATGGTGTACTTCTAACAAGCAAGGCCTTGGGGATGACTTGGGTGCTATGGTTAACTGTGGACCATGAATCTAACTTGCTGGTAGGAGCTGGCAAGCGGGGAGGGGGCTGCAGTCTTCTTCCCACTAGCAGGGAGTGTGTGCATGTGTGTGTGTGTGTGTGTGTGTGTGTATATATCAGGACATCTGGCATGTCACATGTTTTAATGGTCATTTTTGTTGGTCATGAAACAAAGATCAATACTTATTTATATTCACTCATTCAACACATACTTATTGAGCACTTCAAATATTCCAAGATGAGACAGCAGGCCGATAATTCAGAAATATCAATAACTATGTTCTCAATAAGCACACAGTCAGCAGAAAAGAGATAAACACTTCGCAGTACAACCTGAGAAGTCCTTGGATGGATGAAGAAAGTGCGTGGAGAGGGCGTGAATAATGCTGCATGAGGAGCTGAGGACGGTTTCACAAACAGGGGACCCGGTGGAGTCTAGAAGAACTGGGAGACTGAAATGCAGGATGGGCGATTAGGACAGAAGTAGCAGTGGGGTGGGAGGTACAATCCAGGAGGAGGGAAAAGGAAGTCGTGTCCACAGATTCAAAACTAGCACAGTGTGTATGAGAAGTGTTTCTGGCCAACCAAATGGGGATGCGCTGAGAAGGGCCGGCTTGGGAAGGGCCTTGCGTGTCATGTGAGCAGAGTCCAGGCTGCATCCTAAGGGCAGCGTGGAACACTGAGGGATGTGAAGCAGGGAAGTGGCAGGATCCAATCTGAGTTTCAGAAGTAGAACTCTGAGGAGAGCCTGGTTAGTACACTGGATCCTCAATACTTATTTCTGTTTGGGTTTGGGATGACCTGGAAGGTCCTTGCTTCTAATCCAGACTTGTAAAGAACGAGCTTGTATCACTGGGTGGGCTGTTTTGACACTGCTCGAATTTTCCAGTCCCAATCCCTAGGGATAGCACACGCCACCACCTGCTCAGAGGACATGAGTGGTTACAATAAGGCATGTTCCTGACGCCTGTGTAGACTTTCAAATCTGACAAGATGTTCTTAAATACAACGGGTAATGCATATTCACAACAACCCTGACTGGTGTCAGTTATGATCCTCACTTCACAAATTAAGAAACTGAGTCTCAAGTAAGGGAAATGACTATTTACACACCAGTAAATAGCAAAATTGGGGCCGAACTCTCTGTATTTAGCTCTGAGTCCAGGATTCCTTCTGCTACTCTCTTATGTCTTTGTCCACCCGTCCCTCTCCCTCAGCCCTGCTCCAGAGGAGCTGATGAAAGTCAGGGAGAAAGCTACGGACAGGAGAGTCAGAGGATGTGGAATTCCTCTGACCTCTTGAGTTTCTTCAGACTCAGTGCTTATTTTAGCCATACTCAAAAATAGGCCTCATACTTCTATGACCCCAGTGACAGCCATGAGTTTGTCGGACACATATTCTGAGCCTCAGTCTCTTCCTTCCAGCCGGAGAGGACTTCACCTCCGTGGTCTCAGAAATCATGATGTACATCCTTCTGGTCTTCCTCACCTTGTGGCTGCTCATCGAGATGATATATTGCTACCGAAAGGTCTCAAAGGCGGAAGAGGCAGCCCAAGAAAATGCGTAAGTCCCCAAATGCCAGAGTAGTAACAATAGCTAGCGCCTTCAGCATACTTGCCCTGGCAGGTGAGGTGCTAAGCAATGTACATATATCCCCCACCTTCTTCCTCATAGCGACCTATGAGGTAGACACCCTTCTTATACCCATTTTACAGATGAAGACATTGAGTGTGAGAGTTTGCCTAAGGCCACTGTAACACATAAAATGAGCTTTGAAGTCAGGTCTGCTGATTCTTGGCCTGCACACTTAACCACTAAGGCAAACATCTTCGGTTGCCACCACAACCCCATGAAACTAGCATTATGATAACCATTTTATAAATGCCAAAGCAGGCTCATTATGGTTTGCTGAGGCACATACACAGTGAGAGGAGAAGCTGGGATTTGAACCCAGGCCTCTCCATTCCTAACGTCCATGCTCTTTCTATCACATTCAGCTGTTTGCTCTACACCATGGAGTTCCTCAAGCCACCTGGGCACTGCCCATTATTAGCTAAGGAGCTCCAGGCAGCACGTTCTTTCCCCCAGAAGCTGGCAGTGTTTGATTACCCAGAGTGAGGCCTCTAATTCTCTAATGTCCAGCCTGTACTTCGGCCATTTTCTCCGAGACCCTAGTCACTCCAGCATGACCACATGTGATGGGGTCTGTAAGAGTAAAGGGCCTACAAGAGACCATGCTGGCCTGTTATTTGGGGAGAGGAAAAAGAGAAAAAAAACCCCACAGATTTGTAGCAACATTGCTGAAGAAATAACCTAAAAAGCCTAGCCTTAGAAATCCACTTAGAAATGTTTAATAAAATTTTTAAAAAGCATCATTTTACATGATACGTATGATGGTCTCAGGGAAGTAAAAAATTATAACTGACCAGACATGAGGATAGAAAAAAGTGTTATGCTGAGGGAGGTTGTAATTCCTCTTGGACAGAAAGAGCCTACAGTTGGGCCTGCATAAGAAACAAAGTTGGCCCAGCTGTGGTGGCTCATGCCTGTAATCCTAGCACTCTGGGAGGCCAAGACAGGAGGATTGCTTGAGGTCAGGAGTTCGAGACCAGCCTGAGCAAGAATGAGATCCAGTCTCTACTAAAAATAGAAAAAATTAGCCAGGCAACTAAAAATAGAAACACAAAAAAATCAGCTGGGTGTCAGGGTGCGCACCTGTAGTCCCAGCTACTCGGGAGGCTGAGGCAGGAGGATTGCTTGAGGCCAGGAGTTTGAAGTTGCAGTGAGCACAATGACACCACTGTACACTAGCCCGGGCAACAGAGCGAGACTCTGTCTGTCCCACCCCCACAAAAACAAAAAATACCAAAAGAAACAAAGTTGTAGCAGAGACTCTCTGCAGACCCAGGATCCTGAGAGGGCCACAACTCACACAAAGGATAGACCAGAAAATAATCAGCTCACCAGCCCAGGGAAAAGCCAAGGAAACATCCATCTTGGCCTGACTCCAAGGAGAAAAATAAAAAATTCTTGAGGATTAGTAACCACAAGCCTGATCTCACAATGTTTGGGATTTAAATGTATGCTACCCACATGATCGAGGAATCTCTAAGCTGAGAAATTCAATAAAAATCAGTCCCCTGGCCGGTGATAACCATGGGTGTCTTACGGGAGCCAAGGAAACTGAAGGGACATGCTCGCAGCCAAGGCCTAACAGGCTTCCCCAGGTAAATGTTGATCTGATTTCACAATCCAATCCCAAACCCACAGACACAGCAGAGAACAATCCAGCACGAGCAAGACGAGCAACAAATGGCAGGATTAAATCACAGGAGCTCAGACATCAGGAGGGCCTGAGGAAGTATAGAAAATGAGCTTGTTTAAAACAGTTAAAATAATAATAAAAAAAAAAACCCAAAAGCATAAGAATAGAGTAAGTTGCTCAGAAAAATGGGCAGATTTGAATAGGAACCCAAAAAAGAAATTCTGGAAATGAAAAATATAGTCAATAAAATTTAAAACTCAACAGATTGGTTGGACAGAAGATTAGATGCCAGTAACCAGGAGACAAAGGTTAGGAAGTTGTACAGAATGAAGCACAGAGATAGAAAAAGGTGAAATATAACAAACAGGAAGGAAACAAAATGAGAAGGTCCATTAGAATAGAACACAGAGAATGGAGGAGAGACAATATTCAGAGAGGGAGTGGCTGAGGAAAGGGATGATAGTTTCTCTTTTTATTTATTTATGTCTAATTTCATCTGCTTACCTTGTTTAAGAAGGGATGACTCTTGAGATTCAAGAAACACACTATGTCCTGAGCAGGATAAATACAAATAAATCTGCACCTAAACACTAAGCATCTTTAAAGTGGTAAATGGCAGCTACTGAGACAGCCACAGCAAATATCACCTGTGTGTTGGAAGTTTAGAAGAAATATCTAAATAATATAGAATAATATAGAATAAATAATATAGAAACATGTCAAAGATAGCACCTCTCCCTGCTTCTATTCAATACTGTATAGGAGATCCTAGGTAGTATACTAAGTAAATACAAAGAATAAAAGGATAAGAATTGCTAAGGAAGAGACTACGTTATCATTATTCACAACTGTAATTATTTACATAGAAGATCCAAGGGAATCTATAAACGAACTGTTAGAACTGATAGGAATATTCCACAAGGTTGTTGATACAAATCAAAATATAAAAATCACTTATAGTCCATCCACCAATTTAGGAATACATGTAAATATTTAAAACATCTTTTAAAAATTTTAAATTACAATAGCAACAAATATTCTCCCACTACCTGGGAACGAATCTGACAAAAATGTATAAGACATTTAAGGAGAAAATTACAAAACTTTACCAAAAGACTTAAGACTTAAATAGATGGAGAGTAACACCTCACTACTGTCAACAATTCTCTCCCAAATTAATCTTCAAATTCAATGAAATTCCAATCAAAATGCAAAGTGGATTTTTTAAGAAACTTAGTAAGCTGATCTTAAAAGTCACATGGAAGGTGAAAGGGCCGAAATAGTCTACACCAGGGGAGAGTCAGACAGTAAGTACTGCAGGATCCATACTGACACGTATTGTCTCTGACACATACTGTCCATTGGTTTTGTTTGTTTCCAAACAACCATTTTTAGCTCTGGGGCCATAGTTTGCTCACCTCTGGTCTAAAGCAATTCAAAGAAAGAACAGTAAGTTTGGAAGAGGTGGCTGGTAGGACTGGTCTTATCAGAGATGAATATTTCTTGTGAGCTATCAGAATAAGAGTTTGTGATACTGACAGAGGTATACAAAATGGACAAACAGAACAAAATGGAAAGTCCCCAAATAAGTTAATGCACGTATGAAAACCTGATATGTGACAGAGATAACATTACAGTCACTGAAGGAAGACTGAATTGGCTAACATAGTCTAGGGAAATTCCTAATTCATATGGGAAAAAAAGTTAGATTCTCCAACTCTCACACTAAACAAAAATAGTGGACTTAAAGACAGAGTAAAATGTAAAACTTGAAAATTCTATTAAGGTAATATAGGAGAATATCTTTATTACCTTGAAATAGAGAAGATTTCTCAAACAAAATACAAAAGAGAATTCAAAAAGAAAAAATAAATTTGATTACATTTTATGCAAAAATCAGTTGCTCATTACAAGAATCCATAAACAAAATTTATAGACAAACAACAGACTGGGAGATATTTTCAAGACATGAAATGACCAAAGAAAAAAAATCAATGAGCAAAAGACAAATATTGCAGAAGAAAAACTGGCAAAACGAACACTCGGATTTCAGAAGCAGAAACCCAAACAGCCTGTAAACACAACAAAAGAAACGTAACGTCACTAGTAATCAGGGAAATGAAAATTAAAACAACTATAAAATGTAATTTCACACCCATTGGTTTAAGCAACATTTTAATCTAAGTCTTGGAGATAATGTGGATACGTGAGAAGACATACAGGTGGGTAGAAGTGTTTATGTGCACATGTGGGGAAGCATGTTATTCTACAAGGGTCACCCTGGTTTTCTCTGGGGAAACACATCCCGAAGGAAATGCAGAGCTGTTCTGTAGACATCCTTGTTCCTGTGCCCTGCTCCCTCCCCTGCCTTGTGTTCCCACCACCAGGAGCTGAAGCTCTGATTCTCTTCCGCCCGTGTCCTCCGTAGGTCTGACTACCTTGCCATCCCATCAGAGAACAAGGAGAATTCTGCGGTACCGGTGGAGGAATAGAAAGAAGCAGTGTGCCTGGAGGTGATGAATAGGGACTTGGGAGGGGAAGGTGGGTGTGGATGGCAAGTTGCACAAGTGATGTCACCCACAACTGAAGTGACTTTTAATTTGGTCCCTTAGATCAATTTCTACCCTGCCCAGGGTTCCCACCCTCAGGATACGTCTTTAAGTTGATGCCTGAGTCACAAAACTCTGTATGTGAAGCCCTTCAGAAGGTGAATTGCTTTGGCCTGAATGTTGGGGCAACTTGAACTTGCCCATTGTGACAAAGGCATAATAATTCTCCCACTCCCTCCTTTGGCCAAAGAGTCTTTGGGCTGGGCTGGAAATTCTCAGTGAGTTGTTTTATCATTGGTAGGTGGCCTAAACACTGAGGGATTGGCTATCCCAGGTTCGGTGATGTCAACAGCGTCAGGAGGGGACCCCACGGGCCCCATCTCTTCCCTTCGCGTGCCCATCCTTCTATTTGTTCATGCATACATCTACCCATCTCTGAGCTCTCACATCTGACTGACTAGCTCCATCAGACCTCTTCACACCGTAAGACTTTGCCAGAACCAGGAAGCCAACATTTCTCTAGGAATTCAACCTCACCTTGCCCTAGCTCTGTTTGAAGTCTGAAGGCAACTGGGTTTCTCCCCTGTGCTTCAAATGACTTTGTTGTAAGTGCTGGAGGTAGCACCTCTCTCTGTCCTTAACTGGCTGGTACTGGCTCATTCTCCACTGCTGCAAGAGAATGGATGTCTTAATAGAAGGAAGCGAAGTTAAAGCAAAATCATGTCATGAACTTGGATTCCTTGCAGTCAGTTTTTCCAAGTTTGTGGCCCACTGGGTCAGAGCATCAGAGCAAAGCATGTGTCTCTAGGTTCTCCAGTGATGGATCCTTGAGCATGACTGACATACTAGAGCCAGAATTGGTCTCCAAGGCCTGGGTTGGACTCGGTCCTCCCAAGAAGCCAAGGACAGAAGACTTGGGAAGGACCAATGGTAATTTAAGCAGCTCTTAAAAGTCATACATGTCCCTATCCTATTATACTGTATGTATGTGTGCCCTCTCTGGGGAGCACACCACCTGGGCACGGGGACTGAAATTCTGAAGTTCTTCCTCTCAAAATCTCTGTGGATCAGTATTATTCCTCATTTTACAAGAGACTCACACAGGACTCAACTGAATAGGAGGCTCAACTGCATCTGAGAATGATATTTAGACTAAGAAAAATGCTTTTTGGTCTGAGATGGATGATGAATAAATGAGCAAAGTGATAGGGGAGGGATGGGTAGGTGGCTTCCGAATACTTCACCTATGAATCTGCAACATTCAGAGTTCCATCCCCCGCCACCCTAGATTTTGAGAGAGCAGAGAAAGTGGGAAAAATTTTAGTCATTATCTCATGTTTCATTTTAATTGAGTGACTGGTCCAAGTGTGATATCCTTCAGCACCCAGTGATAAGAGGGAGAAAGATGCCTTATGGGATATAAGAAGATGGGGACTGGGATTCAATAAGAAATGTCCCTCAGATCTGGGGAGATTTGCAGGGAAAGAACATATTCCATTGATTTTGGGCTTCACCTGACAAGCTCAGTTTTTCATCTCTTCTTTCCCTAGGGAAGTATTTGAAATGAGACCCTTAACACATTATAAAGAATTCAATGTTCTTGAAGAAAATATTTGCAATAAATTCAAGAGTCGTCTTATTGATAATTTCCCACACAATCCCTCTGAAATAGAGAAGAGAATATAGACCATTTTTCTTACTTTATAGTTAGGAAAATTGTACTTAGGGCGAGGTTCTCCCAGCCCCATGGCTTGGTGGATGCCACAGCTTATCGTAATAGCAAGCTGCTCAGCTCCACTCCACTTCCTCTTGGTTCCAGTGGACCATGTATCTAACTTGTAACCAAGTGTCATGATTGCCTTTATCTTTTTTTTCTTTTCTTTTTAAAAAACCCAACTCAAATGTTTCCTGAATGGTTTTTAATGAAGCTGAATAGTACTTATCACTTATTTATCCAAGTTATCTTCTCCACTCCTTTCCTTTTTCTAACTTCTCGACTCTTACCATTCTTGACACTTTCATTAGAACTATGTGGCTTACTGGCTGGGTGCAGTAGCTCACGCCTGCAATCCTAGCACTTTGGGAGGCAGAGGTGGGAGGATTGTTTGAGGCCAGGAGTTTGAGACCAGCCTAAGCAAGAGACCCCATCTCTACAAAAAGCAGAAAAATTAGCCAGATGTGGTGGCCTGCACCTATAGTCCCAGCTACTAGGGTGGCTGAGGCAGGAGGATCATCTAAGCCCAGGAGTTTCAGGTTGCAGTGAGCTACCATGATGCCACTGCACTCTAATCTAGGTGACAGAGTGAGACTCTCCAAAAAAAAAAAAAAAAGAACTATATGATTTACAAAGCATTTTCAATTATTTCTTCTCTACAACTGGCCCTGCAAGGCAGATATTGTTAATACTAGTGTTACAAAAGAAGAAACTGAGGCTAAGGTTCAGTAGCTTTATTAAATCTTAAAGTCACCTAGCTGGTAAGCAGAGAGCTAGAATCCAGATCTTCTGATTCCTATCCCATTTCTCTTTCCACTTAGACCATAGCCGCTTGCTTTGTTATTTTTTTAACTTCCACTTAATCTTTGGCTTTCTTATTTGTCCTAGTGTTCACCATCTCCTCTCATCCCAAATCACAGCCACTGCTTCTCTGGCACTAGATGCTAGAAATGTGCTTTCAGAGTCAATTCTATTTTGGTTCTCTTTGCAGTTGATTTATATATCATTATTTCTCCTGAATTGCAATTAAACTCCTTCCTGGGAGACTTGATCATGATTATAAATCTACAAGGTACTGTGATCACCAGCCTACGTCACATCTCCACCCACCTCCCTGTTTCTTCCCTAATTCCTACAAAAGACCCAGACTAGACGTGTGTGGCTCTGGAAGCTTTATCTGGCATGCTGTTGCTTATTAAAGGGCTTAGAACAGTTCTCAAGGGCTATTAGCACTTTAGAAACCCCATCTGTTGTCTTGGTGCTGGATCCTTCCCATGCCTGGTCCTCGATAACACAATTCACTGAAGGCCAAGTGAGGCTCAGTCTGATTTTCCCTTATGGCCCAACAGCCACGAACTTGATTGCCCAACTCAGTTGGCCCTGAAAGCACCTTGCTGAGCTTTACCGTCAGCTCAGTCTTGTGTTAAAGCCCCGACCCCTGTGTGGACAGTCAGTGCCTGTTCCGACCCCAGCCTTTATTGTCTGACAGTGCGATCCCTCAGTTTCTCCATCCCCCAGTACGCACACGTCCAGACTTCCTTTGGAGTTCTGGTTTCTCCTCAGATGTCACACTAGAAATATTCCTAGGAAAGGGATTTTTCAAAGCAGGAATATGCTGGGAAATGTGTAAAGCAGTGGATGGTTAAGAGAAGAGACAGCAGCTTCCTCCACTCCCCCCAGTACTGGATCAAAGAGGAAAATACTCCCCAACTCAGAATCTGTGCGTCCTCCTCATGTAAGTCGGAGGGCAAAGGCTATGTCGCTGCATCTTTGCAGGAGGAAGGAGGAGCAAGAGCTAGACACATTTCAGAATAGATCTTGGTTCCCTTTCCCCATTTTAACATGGAAATGGAAAATCAAAAAAACAAAAAGAAGCCTTCTTCTCATCTCATTTTGAAAATGAAAAAATCCCTAACTCAGTGAATTCATCTAGTCACCGCAAACGTATCTCAATAGTACTTGTCCACATCGATCCAATCATCCATTCGTTCTGCAAACATTCTTCAGCACCCACTCTGTCAAGCCTAGACTCTCAGTGTGCTCCGCGGTTGTAGGTCTAACAAAGAGCATCATCCAAGCCTTACTTAACCTCTGAAATCTACAGTGGTGGATAGCTCATGTTTAGTTCAGCCCACTTCCTCCCCCTTACATGAGTTTACAGTAGACCCAGGAGATAAGCACTTGTAAGCGATTTACAGACCAGACTCCACCTCTTCCTCAGGCCAGCTACACCTCAGAGCTGGCAATGCTCTGTCCTTTCTGCCTGTGCCATGGCTTGGCAAGAGCTGCCTCTGCTGGGCAGTGTGTATGTGATGCAAAGGGAGGGCGCTGAAGGCCGAGTGCTTGCAGTTTGCGAACCGCCATCAAACACAGACAACTCTAACAGTCTTGCAAAACATGCAGCTATTTTCCACATTGTCACCTTCATATTGCTTTTCCTTGGTTTTCCATAGCCAATCTTTTTCTGAACTCTAGAAATGTTTCTGACCACCCAAACCCTCAACAACCTAACGCCTGTATGTGGTGTTTTCAGTAAACTCCCTGTTCGTGTCAATAAAGTATCTCTAAAAACTGCTTGCTCTGGTTTGACTCTACTTACTACCTATGTCTACTTCATAGACTATAGCTCCCCAGGACCCCAGCCTGCATCTCTGGACCCAGTCAGGGAATATGTGGGAAAAAATGAAAAGCATATTTAGTAGCCTGGAATTAAATACACACTAATAAATGTGTGACCCATCCTCCCCTCTCCCCCGTTCCTCCTCTACCCAGATACAAAGGAATACCAGTCACTTGTGTTCTTGCGTGGCATGAAACGAGTTTCCTAACCAGGGGTCAAGGAGCTAATTGCAAGGCAGACCTAATGAAAGGAAAGGCCAAAGTGGCAATGAGATTAAAAATCATCTTAGTACGACACCAGCCGCCATACTAATATACGTGTGTATTTTTAGAAAATATTATCTCTGAAACGCTGAGGCTTGGAGTGACGCATGGGGCCCAAGGTCACATAGTTGATAAATGGTAATGCTGCAATCTGTACTCAGGTCTGATTCCAAACCCTCCCATCCATTCCACTTCCTTGGGCTGCCTCTCTCCCCTGACGAGGAGGATGGCCATGCGTGTGTGCACAGGTGTGCCTACACACACATGCCTTAGGGACTTGGAGTGAGCATATCTGGAAAGACCAGAAACACTTGGGGATGATGAGCACTGATGAATCAAGCAATAAATACACACATCATTTAGGAGTTGTAGTTCAATACTTTTTTCTTTTAATTCATACTGTACTTCCATGGCTCTAGCTACTTTACATTAAGATTTGGCTGGGTAGCCTTTTATGCTTCTAGGTACTAGCAGTAAGTTTTCAGACCTTGCGCACAGCGCCAGGCAAAGTACAGTTATAGATCCAAACACAGACGGCCAGACAACTCGACTGCAGTCAACCTGTGTTCCTTTCAGTATATGGCCCAGTGCAGGTGTTGGGGGCTGCTCCCTCTGCCTTGCCCCACCCCACCCGTGTCAGAATTATCCAGGGGCCACCTATGGCCTCTGACCCGTCCCTCCCCACCTTAGAGTCTAGGTTGAGTGGGAGGAAAAAGCACCATGGGTTTGGGAAGATGGTCCGGTCCATGCAGAGAGTGGTCTGGCCCTAGAGTGCAGGGTAGGGATACGTGGGGAGCCACACACTATTGTTGGCTTTTACTACGCAATCTCAGCATGTGGCGCCCAAGTCCAGGGCCAGCTCCCCAGACAGAGCCAGCTGTCTTGCCTGGAGCAGAGGCTGCCATTTCGCTTCTGCAATGTCTTATTGTGTGGAGAGAAGCAAGGATGGCTGAGGGGCGGCGATGACAATGTTCTTTAAGCCTTCACATGTCGGGGAGGTCGCCGGGCGTCAGCTCCTCTTGGCAGGCAAGGTGCTTCGTACCGGCAGCCAAGGCTCCAATCCGGGCTCCAGGGCCTGCTGAGGACCTCGAGTCACAAGACCCCTGAGCTGTCGCACAGAACATCAAAACAGGGAGCTGGCTGGGCCCACCATGGCCGTGGCCAGAGCAGGAGTGAGGTAACGAGGCTGGGCAGAGAGGCGGGAAGGGGAGCTCTCTACACCGTGTGCAAATTCCTGCTCCGCATTAGGAAAGCAGGGGCGTTAAAAGATGACCTTCCATAAAAATGCTCCTCTCAGACCCAAAACACATCTTCTGGAAGAAAACACAGAGGTGGAGGGGAGTGGGGCCAGCCTGAGAGAGGTTGTAGTCAAAGATGTCAGGGGGTGAATGAGATGACGTCCCACAGCCTAGAGACGGGTGGGGAAGGGAGGGTCAGGAAGAGAGGTCCTGGAGGTTCCTACTGGAGGGAGCAGGCAGGGCACCCGGGGTGCAAGAAGGGAGACCACAGCCCTGACATCTGGGGGAAGAGAGAAGAATGCTATTTCTCTTGGGGGCCCTCGGAGGGAAGGGCTGGCTTTGGCTGACCTGCAGAGCTTAAGAAGTGGCATGGTATGGCACAGAAAGGACCCTTCTGGAATCACTAACAGTCCAGAAAGATTCTTCCCCTAGCCCTTTCTCCAAGATCTCATCCTAGAGATGCTGCCTGCAAGTGTAGTAGGTACAGTCCGAGCGTGGGTAGGGGACAGGGACATGGAAAGAATCCACTTTGAACAAAGCATTCCTCTTAGGCCTCTTGCCCCTCGCCTTTCCTCGTAATCCCAGGTTCTCAGTTTCAGTGCTCTAAGGCAACTGAAGGATTTTCGCCAAAGCTTCATACTTAATCCAAAGCCCAGCAGGGTTTGGGCTGAGCCAAAAGAGAAGTGCTAGAACCGGAAATGGCTTCTCTCCACTGCTTCCTCTATCGGTAACCAGGAAGTTTGGATAGATTGAAGGCTTCACAGCGCCTAGAGATGGCAGATGGGCTCTATCCAAAATAAGATGCTCTTTTCCTAGCTTAGAAAAGCCCAAGGGAAGGCCCCTTCCCAAACTAAGACTAGGCCAAAGAAGGAAGAAACCCTCCTAAGTTAATACTGAGCAGTACATCAAACTTAATCTCTCTCGCCACTGGGCCTCTCTAGCCCTCCAAGCCTCTGAAGAAGAAATTTTAACTACCCTGGGCTTCCTGGGAACCTGGACACTGCCCTACCACACCTCTAAATACCAGAGAAGCTCTAGCCCAGAAGACATGTTCCCTCCTGGCAGGGCAACTCCCAATTCTGAAAAAGCCCAGTCTTGCCAGCCTCAGGCCTAACCTCCAAGGTGACGCCAACGCTAGAACCTACCTTAATGATAATCTAGCCCAACCCCTTCCTGTTACAGGAGGGTACTGAACCTTGGAGAGGCCACAGAGCCAGTCAGCAGCAAAGTCAAGACTCAGGCCCAGGTCTCCCGACTCTCAGTCCAGTGTTCTTCCAGAGACAGCTTCAAGTTGCTGATCTTGCTGACCTGAGACATTGTCCCCTCGTCCCAGGGAAGTGGAAGACGAAGGGGGAGAGTTGCAGACATGACTGGCTTCTCGGAGGCCAATCCTGTCACTCCTACAGGAAGCTGGAGTGGAAATCTAGACCCCATAGCTGTTCTTCGCCTGGTTAGAAACTCTGTAAATTCTTTAATACTGAGTGCAAACTCTCAAATGTTTTACCACGTAAATCCCCACAGAAAGACTCCTGTGTGCCTCAGAGTTCCTATGTAAACAAAACAACAACAACACTGGCTAGAAGAAGTAGTGTAAGTGGTGGTTTGGACGCTCTCTTATAGGAGTTACAATGCTATTTATTCGTTTTCACTCCCGGACTGCAAGAATGAGTTCCCTACTCTTTCACAAGTTATTGACTAAGGAGAAAAAGATTTTGTTTGGGAATGAATTGTTGTTGGTTTTCTCCTGGCTCGAAAGTTAAAAAAATATATATACATTAGAACAAAGAGAGCCCATAAGAGATCCATGATTCTTAGGGGACATTCTCTATGTGCACACATGGTGCACTGGGTAAAAAACACCAGAGAACAGGAGGGTTCCCTGACATGCTAAGTGCCTCCCTCCCTGTCACCTGCTCCTCCCTTGAACGGTCCTGAGAGATAAAGCGGATGCAGAATAGCTCTGTGGCCGGGTCTGCTTCATACTTCACTCCCAGCAAAGAACCCTTTTTTTTTTTGAGACAGAGTCTCACTCACTTGCCTGGGGCAAGTGCCGTGGCATCAGCCTAGCTCACAGCAACCTCAAACTCCTGGGCTCAAGCAATCCTACTGTCTCAGCCTCCCGAGTAGCTGGGACCACAGGCACGCGCCACCATGCCCGGCTAATTTTTTCTACATATATTTTTAGCTGTCCAATTAATTTCTTTCCATTTTTTGGTAGAGACGGGGTTTCGCTCTTGCTCAGGCTGGTCTCGAACTCCTGAGCTCAGAACAATCCGCCCGCCTCGGCCTCCCAGAGTGCTAGGATTACAGGCGTGAGCCACCGCGCCCGGCCAAGAACCCTTTTTTATATCATCCGAAAGGTCCCACCATGGCACCTTTAATAATTAAATAACTTAAGTGAGTAATTATGTATGGAATAAATTTGAGAATTTATAATTTTTGCATTCAAGAGTTTACAGGGGGAGTGTTGGGTTCTGGCTACGCCGAGAGGAAATTTCCAGCAATCTGAACCAGGCCTTCTTCTTTGGCTCAGGGCCCGTGAGCCTTGACCCTCCCTTAAGTCCTGGACAAGAACTTCACAGTGACCAAAAGGCCATATGCACCCTTCACAGGGATGAAATACAACTCCATTTCGTAAAGTCTCCTTTTCTATGGTAGGGAAGGCATTCCAGCTGACCACCTGGAGCCTCCTCTTCCTCCTCCTCTGGGGAATGACCTGGGCATGGACCTTTCTGCTTTCTGATCCTGCCCTTAGGGAAATACCAAGGCCTTATTCTCACACTAAAAAATCAAACACTTCTCTTTAATTGCCACAGGGGAATGGTTAGGCCATTCTAAGAGAAGAAAACAACTTTCTCTTTGGGGTAGAACAGTGATAAAAGTCTTCCTTCCTTTGTGCTAATGCTCTAGGATATCTGGGGTTCTGGGGTCCCTTCTGTCTCTTGCATTGAGAAGCCCAGGAGAAGAACAAGCAAGTTTGAAGAGCTCTCCTTGCCAAATTGGCTGATTCTTTCCTGTTCAAGAATTCATGAGCTCTGCTTGGGGCTAGTGTGATACTTTTGCTCATTATATGGAGGAATAGAAATTAGTGTATGAAGGATGATGAACATGCCCAGAAGGGCCCCATGAATTCAGATCAATGCATGGGTTCCAGTGGGCCAACCCTGAAAAAGGTCCTGGATGCCTGGCTCTCCTAATCCAGCATCTTCTACTCCTTAGTGATCTTATACCTCTTCTGGGGCCAGAGACCAGAGAAGGGTTTGCACCCCATCCCCCACCAGAACTCCCACTCCCAAGTCTGAGAAACTCAGGATTTGGAATGGGCCCCCTGGGGCAGAGATTTCATCAGGTCTTTTCCTGCCCAAACGCGCGCACCTTTGCCAATTCCTTCCCTCCAATGGCTTAGATGTTTTCTCCATGTGCAAAGTATCTCAGACAATTGTCTCCATTGGCTAACGTTGGTTCTTTACCACGAGTAAATGGTGCTGGCAACCCAGTGAGTGCCTTGCTGTTGGTGCTCACTTCTCACACAGCGTTCTGTGGGTAGACCCTGCAACCCAGACGTGGCTAGGGCATCCTCTCTCTTTCTCTCAAACCCTGGAGGGCCTAGGACTCCCTGACTCACCCTGGAAAACAAACTGACAGCTCTAGATGAAGGAATTAGAGCCACAGACCTGACTTGCTTATAACCACTAAGAGAGGTTTAACAAGGTCGAAAATGCGCCACCCTGGCTAATAAACAATGTGCTCTTAAGGCACAGAGAAACAATAGGACTTTAGGCACTAAAAAGTGACACTTCACCCAGATCCAGCCTGGGAGAAGACCAGAGAGAAAAGAGGTGGGAAAATAAGAAATCCCCAGCCCTTATTGGGTCCACACCCTACACAGGTCGGAGGAAGGTGCAGGGGTGATTGAGGAGAATACCCTTCAGAACATGAGTCCTCAGGAGCCTGCGACCCCACAAATGCAGCCTTCCCAGCTTTCAAACAGTCCTCTCCACCTGACGCTTCGTGCACGGTCCGTATCAAGTGGGTGGAGTTCAGACTGGGCTCCTGCCCTCAGTGCTTCCGTGTTCCCAAGAGAACGCGGGGGGAAGCGTGGGGTAGGGAAGAAAAGATTCTCTTTTATTTCGGAAACAAATCAAAAGGAGATTAGGGAATGAAGCACCTTAAGCAATGCCCCTTTGAGACTTTGTTTCAAGACCCTAGGGTCTTCGCAGGCATAGCTCTGGCTCAGCGACATTTCCCTTCCAAGAGCCAGGAGTGGCCAGCAAGGGAGGGGGTGGGGAGCAGAGGGTGGGAGGAGGGTCAGGGGAGGTCGGTGCTGAGAGGTGGTCCCTGCCCTCCTCAGCCCCTCCACCGAAGGAAAGCACTGCTCCGGCCAGCACAGGGGGCGGGAGGTCCCGCTCCTTCTCCCTGGTACATAGGCATTATCTCTTTTTAAAATCTGTATATAATATATATATATTTATATTCTGTATATATATATTTATATATATATTTATATGGTCTATGTACATGTATTGCACAGGCCTCTTGCAGCCACCCCTGCTCCTGCCTTGTCAATGATAGCGGTTCCTCTTCTCCTCGCTTTCGGACGTGTAGTCACGGGACCTGATGCCGTTCTGAAGGTTGATGAGTGAGTCTTTCATCTGTAAGACAGGGAACCCCACCCCAGGCCTGGGTCTGTGCCCTCGGCGGGATTCTCCTCCCAGCAGCACCCCCTAACCTGCCTGCGGCGGGCCTCTCGCCACGCCACGGAGCTGAAGGGAGCTGGGCTCCTTGAAGGTGGTTCTCAGGGGCACAGTTTCAAGCAGAAAGGGGACAGCCAATCTGGCATGGGGACCCTCCCCCTGCCACCCGGTCCGTAAGGCTCACTGGGTCTCGGAGATCTGAATCAAGAACTCTCTCAAAGCGTTCAGTTGCTACAAGGAGCCAATTAGACGGCCATTTACTTGATCTACTAGTCATTTCATCTGATTTCCCCACTGATCCTTAATATACTATATGCCCATCTTTATACATCAAAGCCACGTTGTTCCTCCCAGCCTGGGACCCATTTTTCTCTTGTCTATTCCAATCTCACCCATCTGTTAGGGCCCAGAACAAATCCAAACTTTCTCTGCCTCCCAGTCATCCTCCTTCCTGGCCTCTCACATACCACACACAAGGGCTCTGCACTGCAGTCGTCTTTAATTACTTGGTTTCACGTTTGCTGAGACCACAGCTATGTCTTACCCTTCCCTTGTACACCCAGGGGTGCCAGGCAGAGAACTGAGGAGTCTCCTGGTTGGCACCCATATCAGTGAATTAACACCTTTGGGTCATGTGATGGAGTCTAAATGGAGCAGTTCTAGCAGGAGAATCCTGAAACGGCCCATTGTAACACAACATATTTAAGTATTGTCTCTGAGTAAGCTGCTCTGTTACAACACAAGACAACATTTCCTGGGTAAATGGTTATGGATTTGGGGAACCTCTGGTCTCTCTGTTTAGTCTGCTACTTTCTTCTCTCCGGTTCTTCTACATTCTCTGCTCAATAGGGACGAGGGGCCCATTACTGTTCTTTTAAAAGTTACTCCTAAAGGGAATGAAACAAAACACCTCTCTTAACACTGGTAGGGTAGAAGCCACCAGGCTATAAATCTGACAGCCCTAAGCCCCACTTTAAGGGGATCCATCCTGAAATAGAATTCACACTTGGAAGAGACCTCTGGGTCATGCAGTCCAACCGTCCTCTATTTAATCCGTAAGTTCCTCACCCATCACCATGCCGGTCATCCCTCGAACACTTTCAGTGTTGGAATCTCAGTCCTCCACAGTAGCCCATTCCATTGCTGGAGAGCTCTAACCCTAAGCAGTCTGTTTTTATTTGATGACTCACAAATTTCAATTCCTTCTAGCCCTAGTTCAGTGCTCTGGAGTTTACAGTAAGTCCAACTCTTCACCTGTTGGTCTGAATGTCTGAAGGCCATCCTGTTCTCTTCACCCAGCGTTCCCTTCTCTTGGGCATATGGATAATTCCATCACCCCTCCTTGACATGGCAGGGCTTCCAAACCCCTGACTGGGTTGTTAACCATTTTTTTTAAAAAAAGCACTCCTTAAACAAAGCCAAACATGATACTCTAAGCACACCAGACTGGATCCTGATAGCAGCAGTTAAGATTCTCTTTCCTCAATTTAGAGCTAAGACCAAGCTATGAAAGGGAAACAATGTTTAATAATAATGAGTGCCTCCCAAGTGCCATCGAATCCTGACAGCAGTTCCAAGAAGCCACGGTGACAATTCCTATTTTATCAATGAAGAAAATAAGGCTCACTAATATTAAGTCCTTTGCTCAAGGTCACAAAACCAGTTAGTGGCAAGGCTAGGATTCCACCTTGGGCTTTGCTGACCACAAAACATCAGAAAGACACCTTTTTAGGAATAGAGATTTTATTGCAGCAGGACAGATCCTCTCTCTAGTATCTTCCTAATTCTCTCGCGTTGCAAAGGTCGGTTCCTGCTCTCTTGACAACCACATGGGGACCCTTTTTGTAAGGTATTAAATTTTTCTAGGGGAAAGAGGAAGCTCCCTCCCCCGAGGAAACTAAGCTAATCATTAATTTTGCCCCAGGATGATTTTCTTAAATAGCTGGATCAAGTTTTTGGGAGGAATACAGACAATTGCACAACAGAAATGATATTATGAAATGGAGACATAGCTCAGCCTTCTTCCCAGACCCTCAGTGCAGTGCCTTTGAGGAACGGCAGCTGCTGGTGGTTGTGTGTCTTGGATGGTAGGGGGAGGGGTGGTGTACATGCAAGGGAATTTGAAAGATATGCCCTTTGGGAAGGCAAATTTCTGTAAAAGAGGGGTAGTTTTCTCTTGAAACGCCTGTCAGATGGCTGTGGGTTACCCAAAAAATCAATCAATCGATAAATAAAAATAGTTCTCCTTCCATCTAACCTACAGCTTTCCTGCTGCAAATCCAGTGTGGTGTCATTATTATTGTGAATGCACCTGTGTTTCAAACAGCCCATTCAAGAATGACTTTACAAGTAGAACAATAGATGGACCGAGAGAAGCATGAATGGGAGGAAGAAGTCAGAGTCTGGAGGGTGGGGAGAGAGATGGCCGTCTTTCTCAGAGAATAAGGGGAAAAAGTTCTGTCTCCCGAAGACTAGGGCAAGCGGGGCAGGGGCGGGCGGGGGGTGCATCTCACCTGGTCAAGGAGCATCACGGAGGATTTGATGATCTCCCTCCATTTTTGGAGCTCAGTATCGTGGTACTTTTGTTGGGACTCTAAGAGCTGGGCCCATTCTGTCTGAGACTGGGGTAACCTGTGGGGCAGAAGAAGGGGCACCCCAGCAGCTGGAGTTATGCTCAGCGAACTGTCCTGTGCTCCCAGACCCCTAAAGGACAGAGAGTCACATGAGAGTGCTTTGTCCTGTGCACACTGCCCCTGGTTCCCCTGTGCCCCAGATCAGAAGTGGACTGAAACTACAGGGACAGATTGTGAGGCCTTCCCTACGGGTTCATGCCAGAGGGTTATCTCCTGGGCAAGGGCAGTGTGACAGTCCCAAGGAGACGGGAAGGCAGGTGCTATTGCAAGGCATCAGGTGGGGTGGAGGTGCTGGCAAGGGGACAAGGCCAAGATTACCTTTCTTGGAGCCTGAGACCCTGCCAGGCAGTGAGGGTCTGCGTGGTGTATTCCAACATCCAGAGTTTGTAGAAGAGCATCATGTTAAGGATGACCAGCAGCACCAGACTAGGAAGGAGACACGGGGAAAAAACAACAGCGATGAGGTGTCTTCTGAGCCAGGGACACTGGTATCCCAGAGGCTGCTGTCCCTGACTGGTGGGTCTTCCAAAGCACCGCAGTGAGTGAGCACATAAGCCAGAGGGAAGCAGCGAGAGAGAGAAGCAACCTAATTTGGAGGGGCCGGGAAGCAGCAGGAGAACCATGGACAGGGGTGCAGGGCAAAGGCATCGCGGGGGAGAGACACATGGGCACCGGAACCCGGGTCCCCTGGGGGAGAGAGGTAAGGCGGAGAGGGAAAGAGACGAGGGGGGCAAAGGAGTAATCATAGAGCCAGTACCTGAAACAGATCCTAATGGGAGCAGGGGAGAAAAACAGGGAGGAGGCACAGGTTAGAAACAGACGAGTGTGGGGAAGGGGAAACCGCACTTACATCAGCCAGAGAGCGAATGAGAGGGTATGAGAAAGAAATGCCAGAAGCTAGGACACAGTGGAGAAGGCAACTCATCAAGGAAAGAGTGAGAGAAAGCAGGTGTAGACAGACTTGGGGTTTCACGGGTACTAAATCGAAAAAACGTTCCTCCTACCAGCCCAACATCAGGAGGCAAAGGCAAGGAGAGAGTGAAGGAGGGATTCCAGTGGGAGCCGCAGCTCTGCCCTGGGCGTGCCTTACAGATGCTAGCAGAACTTCCCCAAAGTCAGTAAGGCTCCTGCCTGGACCTGCCACCACCCGGCAGAGGTCACGGGGACCGGATGAGGTCTCCCAGAGTCTGGGTCAGAATGGTCAGAGACAGGGAGGAGGCGAGGAGAATCCAGGGCTGGAGGACCCGGAGACTGCGGAATCCTCCTCTCAGCCTCCCTGGCTGCCTAAAGATGATTTTGTGAGAGAATATCACAGAATACAGGGTGAAGACATAGGTAAAGAGGAGACCCAGAGGCCACAGAATTGGGCACAAATACTGGTTCGCCACTTAAAAATGTCTTAGCTCTTGGTCAAGTCTCCTAGCTTCTTTGACCCAGGGACAATAGACACCCGCCCTCCTAGGGTTGTTATGTGGATGAAAGGGAATGTGTGTCCAATATACACAGCAGCCGCCCCCATCATGGTTCTTATCATTAAAGCAGGAGACGCAGACACACACAGGAAGATAGAGGATGACAAAAACTAGTAGATAAAACAGAGATAGGAAAAAAAAAAAGACCAGACAAGGAAGAAAAGCTCATACTATGTCTTAGAGTTTTGAAAGTGCGTGTGAGTGATACTATATTTCCCATTGGTGCTTCTGGCACTATGGAAGGCCATCTTCCTTAACTGGCAGCTGCAAGTCCCTGGGGCTACTCTGCTGCGTTCTTGGGGTTCTCTGAGTTCTTCAAGAGACCTTTTAAACTTTGTGTCCAATTTCCATGATGCCGTCTGTAACTGTATCGGCACACACTGGATCACACGAACGCCCACCTCTTCGGCGCGTGCTGCGCACAATCTCCAAGGCTGTACCTGGGTTTATGTTTGCAGTCCTGTCTGTGCTAAGTGAAGGTCAAGGGACACCCCCGTGTGCTGTCTGAGTGAAGGCTCCACGGCGTTCTACACAGAGGAAAGAGGCAGGAGGCTGAGTCACCTCGCAGCAACCTGCCAGACACGGGCAAACTGTGCCGCGCCAGCCCATCCCACACGCAGGCTGTCGGCAGCCCCTCGCGTGGATCGCGTTGTGCGGAATTAGAAGATCTGATGATCCTAAACTTACAAAGCCCTGAAGTTAGTTAATACAATGCTACCCAATATACTCAGGGAGCAGCAGGAGCTGGGAAGGTCAGTACGCAGAAAAAGCTTAAATAGGGAACTAACCTGAGGTTACGATTTTCTATTTACCAAAATCCAATATCGGAGATTTAATTTTAACAGAACAATGGAATGAGTCAGATTAAATCCATGTTGCTAAATGTGAACTTGATTGGCTTCACAGTTGCCTTCGTATTTATTTTTGTAATGTCCTGGCTTCATATGCTCTAGTCAGAAGAATTTTGCATCTACTTACTTGAATAACGTTATATATTCAAGTGAGGTTAGTAAAAGAGTCCTACTTATGTTCCTCACAGACTCCTCTCCTGTAAGTGGCCCCTAGGGTCACTCTTTGTCACTCTATATTCTACATAGATGGTCACATTCACGCTGTGGCATTAATGCCATGGATAATTAACCTGAGGCTGCAGCCTACACTTGCCTCCTAAGCTCCGGGTCCACATCAGCAAATAGTGTCATTTCATGTGGATAACGTATGGAACTCGGACACACCTGGAGCACTATCAAGTGTCTTCCCCGACAAATCGCACTAAATTCCAGATTTCTGTTGATGACATAACCATTTGTGGTCCCTGGAATCAGCAGTTCATCTCCCTTCATTGCATAACCAGGTGGGTAACGAGTCTTCCCCCTGCAGGATCTCTCAGCCCTGTCCCTCATCTCAGGCTGATGGCCGTCTCACCCAGACGGCCACGGTTCACTCCACTGACCTCCCTGCCTCCAGTCTTTGCCGTATTGCTGTCAGAGTGATTTTTCTCTCAATGCAAATCTGACCACGTCACTCTTGGGCTTCCTTCAGAGTTTCCCGAGAGTGAGGCTGTGCCCTGCCGCTGCCTCTGTGAGAAGGCTCCAGCAGAGGCCAGGGAGGGTCACAGAAGCAAGACTGAACTGGGGCCATCGGGCATCTGGTGCACGGTGGGGAGGGCCCCACGCACTCTCAAAGCACACCCCTATCCAAGGAAGGCATGGGATGCCAGGCAGGGGGCTGAACCAAGCAGAACAACTGTCCTAGCTGCTTCCTATCAAAGTGGTTCAGAAAAATCCTGGCCAGGCGATGGCATGGACTCGCACTTCCAACAGCTGGTCGAGTTCTCCCGTCTTACGTGTTCATTTCTTTCGCCCTCCTTTCTCCCTAGTCCAGCATCTTCCTGTGCGAGTTACTGAGCCTACTGTTTTATAATGTCACAGCAATTATTATAAATAGTCTACATTAAAATAAGCACCTACTTTCTTATGCTGAAGTCATTGCTTTTGTATGGATACCCTGCCAACGTGTGGGCTCCATGAGTGCATAGTTCCAGGGCCTGGCACGGAGCAGACGCCCAGAACATCTCTTGCGAATGAATGAGTAGACTCCTAAAATGCTCTGTGGCCCTTCTACGTTAGCATTTATCCAACTGTGTAGGGATTCTGAACGTCCCATCTCTTTTACACACTGGAAACTGAGTTCCTGAAGGGCACGGATGCTGCATGCAGCCTTTTCTTCTGAAGGCCCCGCACGCAGTAAATGCCGAACGAAACAGAGAAAAAGATGGAAAGAGGTAAGAAATGACAGACAGAGCAACCAATCCCGACAGACAAGACTAGAGGACGGAGCAAAAAAAAAAAAAAACCAGGGAAAACGGTAAGGGCACTCAATGCTTCAAGAGGCAGGGGATAGATGAGACACCAGGCAGGAACAGGCAGGCGGTGGCGGGGGGAGGAGAGCCTGGAGTCCCTTACACACAGCTGATAACCAGCAGCAGCTTGGACACGCTCTGCAGGTGGAAACCGTTGGGGGCATCCTCGGGGATGTGCCGTGTCTGCGTGGAACCTGTGGGAGGACAAAGAGGCCGTCACCGTGGTGACCTACGAGTCCACCAACTTCTGATGTGCACTGTCAAGCAGTGAATGTCAGGGGATGATAGAGAACTGTCCACAATGCTGTCGCAGCAACGATATGACGAGATGTGCCCAGCCCTCCAACAGGAGAAGGCAAACTCCTCGAGGGCAAGGTTACCACGGGCTGGGTCAGACAAACACTGAACAGACGAGAAAATCAACAGACCCATGTAGCTGGCACACACAGACGCAGGGCGAGTGAGAAATGGCACTGGACTAGGACCAGAGACAGCCAGCTTCCGGCTAGGGTTTTATTCCTAATCAGCTACGTGGTGCTGGACAAGTCACGTAAGCTCTCTGAGGGTCAGTTTACACATGTGCAATGTCAGTCAGAAATCTTACGTGCACAACACACAGTGCAGGAGTGCTCGGGGTGAAGCTAGGGACAGGGACATGGGAGGCTGGCACTCTCTCCCCCTCCAGCTCTGAGGAACCCAAAGGTATGTGCAGAGCACAGCTGGAAAAACACTGGATCAATTGGTCTCTAAGTCCCTGTATAGTTCAAGGTCTCCATAGTTGAGCAAAGACATGTGGCTTTGAATGGCTGGATGGGAAGAGGAAGAGAGGAAGAGATATCAAGGGAGTCCACAGCCTGGTGGGGCAGGCCCTTGGTGGGCCATGGGGTTACGTGAGGGGGGCTGCCTTGGACCCCCTGGTCCTTGTGTTATGAGGTCAATTCTGGGGTCTGGGCTTTGGATTCTCCTTAGTATACTTCCCGAGAACTTGGAAACTGCATATTTGAGCCTATGCAGGTAGCCATGGAGCTTGAGTGATACAGAGGCGTAAACATAAAAGACACCTTTAGTTAATCAGAGCACACATACGGCTTCAGCAGGGGCCGAGGAACTTAAAGGGCAAAGAGAAATACATAGGGCAATGGTAGTCTCAGATTTTGTGAGTATGTTCAAATTACTTAGAAATTATACCCAAGGTACAAAATGAGCTCCTGCCCAAAGCCCCAATCCTCACCACCCGCCCCCACTGGGCACACACCTGCCACATGCTTGATCCTGTGGCCCACATCTTCATCAGTGGGTGTGGTGACAGGGCTCATCACCTCTTCCAGGTGAGGGACCCTCAGGTGGGCATGGGGACGCTTCCTCCTCCGCACTGTTGGGGGCTTGCTGGCCTTCTCTTTGGGAGACTGTCTGTGCATCTCAGCCAGGTAGGTGCTCTCCGTTTTGGCCAGCTCGCTCTCTGTCAGAGACAAAAGGACCACGTCAGAGGTCACCTTCAACCACAGGGGCCTCCCGAAGCAAGTTTCTGGGGGAACCATCTTCCCATACCGTAGTCTTGACAGCCAGATGACCCACAGGGATGACCACGGGCCTCAGAAAGTACTCCTGGGACCCAGCCCCATTCAAACCCCCTTCTGGGGCCGTTCAACGTTGTGTGGAGCCACATGTTCTGAACATCTGCACCCCCTGTGCACAGTCTGGGGCACGTCACACACTTCCTCAACAGATGCACTCACAGGTGACTGGCAGATCCTTCTCATAACAGAGAATACCAGTATCGCTAGATCTGTGGCTCATTTTGCGGGGAGGGGTATTACCAACTCCTTAATGATACACGTTATAGACATAGTCTCTTGAAAAACACACACGTCCACATACATGCAAAATTTGGTATCTATTTCTGGGGCAGAATTTGGGACCCTATGGAATCATTCTCAGTCTCTGCCCCCATTCTCCATGTTTCCCTTTGCCCGGAGCACTGGGCGACAGCTGTGCTGTTCACCCGTTTCTGCAGCTCGACTAGCAGCGATGGTAGCGCCCACCTAGATGGCGGAAGTAGTCCTCCAGCCCGCTCCAGAAGTTCTTCTCGATGAAGGTTTTCACCAACCCCCAGGGCTGTTTACGATAGCGCAGCTCTGTGGAGACCCTGAGGAACAAGCCAGAAACAAGATCGGTCATTTCCTGGGTGGACGGTCTTCCGCTGGGAAAAGGGAAATTCGGATTTAAGGCCCAAGCAGCTTCACAGGTGTACTGCATTTTACAAGTTAACAGGTCCTGTCATGTCCAGCACATCACCTGATCTCCCCGACCACCTTCTGAGCTCAGTGGAGCTAGTGGATTTATCCTCGTTTTACAGATGAGAAAACTGAGGTTCAGAGTATTTAAGCAGTCCAAAGGCCAACCAGGAGGGCTTCCGACTCCAAGCCCAGAGCTCCTTCGTGAGGCCACACTGCCTCCTCCCACGTGGACTCCAGAGGGGGCTAGGCAGCCTGACAGTCAGCCAAAGGGAGGCTTGGTCTGAAGTTTGACCCTTCTGAGCAACAGACAATGAAACAAATTCAAGATGGGCCACTCTTTTATCAGGGTCCTTCTTTCCCTCTCCAGAGACTTTCAAGTCTGAGTCAAGCTCTGGGGTTTCATCACTTTCACCTTTAAGACCATCATTCGCTGCCGCCCTAGCTCCTGCCTCTCCACCGCAGCCCAGACCGCGCAGCGCTCGCTCTCCCCATCGCTGGCCACACTGCTACCCACGTCTCCCACACAGCAGCCCTGCTCTGCGCCTCCTCCTTAGTCCATCTGCATCTGTCCACGGATTCTCCCAGCTTATCCATCCACCCTGCATTTCAGCCTGCTGGTCCAGCCTCACCCCTCCTTGGGGATGCTACCTCCACCCATGGCCTGACAGCAGGACGCCTGGACTTGGAGCCCTCACGCCCCCTCCCAACGCTGGTTCACTGCATCAAGGCTGGGCATCTCCTTGTAAAGGTCTATCCAAGGTCAACCAGCTGCCTCTGCGTGGACTGCACAGAAAAGACACACAACTGGAAGATCCTGAGGAACCTGGAGTTGAGAAACCCAGACACCGTGGAGGAAAAGAAAAGAGGAACAGGAGGGAGAAGCGAGGCCAATAAAAGGCGGAGGGAGGAAGAAAAGGGAGTTGGAGGGACAGGTGCACACTCAGGGAGTGGCAGAGACTCCACCGCCTCGAAAAAATTAAGAAGAGGATGAGGAAGACGCAGGTCCTGCTTGAGGTGCTCTTCCTGATTCCCTGAGATCTCTGTGCAACCTTTTACTAAACCCTGATTTTATATGAACTGCATGAGTGAATTTCTGCTCCTTACAACCAAAAGAACTTGGTCTTAGATACAGGTATAAAAATCTGATGCTTTTCAAATGGGCATGTGTCCTGACTTTTCAGTTAGACCACGAGCTTCTTAACACATCAGGGTCTAAATTTGTCCCTTCCTTTGAGAGCACATTATAGTGCCCCAAACTATTATTCAATCAGTCAACACTTTCTAAAATCTGACGGGAGCCTGTGCTGAGTGCTGGGAATAACGTGGCGAACGGAATGGGATTCCTGCCCTCGGGAAACTCACTGTGTAACTGGGAGGCCAACGGTAATGCACAGGGGTGGCACAGACGTGGCAAGAGGGAAAGAGCACAGGTTTACACGTCTCAGAGCTGGGTTTCAGCACTTACTAGGGACAGGACTCTCGGCAAAGTTATTGAACTTATACGAAACTCATTTTCTGATAAATCCACTCCTTGCATCATTCTAAAGACTCCAGTGAGTGTAGGAAAAGCACCTACATGGTACTTTATAGGCCATGGACAACCAATAAATGGCGGTAGTTATAACAGTTTTACTAAACAGATTGAGCACAGTGGTGAAGGGAACACGTGGTAGAGAGAATAATTAACTCCCTCACAACAGGGACAGTAGGGAGTCTCCGAAGGCTTCAGAGAGAGGGTAGAATGAAGCAGCAAATATGCCCAACCTCCTCCGTCCCTGTCGGAGCACGTGAATGCTTTCTGATGTACAGACCCCCACCTGAACCCCGGGCCCTCCGCACCCCGCACCTGAGCCGGCTCTTGTTCCGAGCCACGCGGGTGAGTGTGTAGCGGTTGATGGTGTAGAAGTAGTCGTGGTAGGGCACGTCGTGGGTGAGGACCTCGGCGTCGATCACGTAGCACTCGCTCTCCTGGCTCGCCTTGTACATGGTCTGTGCGGAGGAAAGTCCATTGCGCAAAACTGAGAGGGGCACGGAATTCAGAAAAGCTCCTTCTCCAAGCTCCCTTGCCCCAGCTGACGACAGCCGAATGGAAGACCCAGAGCCACAGGAAATGGCGGCATGACACTTGCACCCACAGACTTCCTCCCGACATCTGTCCTCAATCCTTCGCGATGGAGCAGGGCATTTTCAGGCCTGCTCTCGCTGGCCCTTGCCATGTCTCCGCTCACCTGTGTCTCCCTGACAGTGGCGGTTTTGGGAGCCAGCGGGTTGGTGAGGGTGATGGTGTAGAGGATCACTCGGCTCTGGTTTCCATTCTCTTCCTTCTTCCATGGATGGAAGATGATATCTGAGGGTGGACGAGAGCCCTGGGATGAGGGAGGGGACGCACAGCCCCCTCCCCACATGTGAACTTCCCCCCAAGTGACCTTCTCCTGACTGTGCTGACTCCCGACTGGCCCCCAAAAGGAAGCCAATGGCAGCCTGAGGGCAGGGGGCAGAGGGTGGGAGGAGGGGGAGTGAGAGCAGAAAGAGGCTCATTGTAGCATTGCCGAAATTCTACACGAGGCTCCAGAAAGCTGATTGTTCCTAGGGCTGGGACAGGAGGTCTCGGGGCCACCTACGGGGGTGCTGGCAACACTGGCGTTACTGTGGTGAGGGCCTAGGGTCCCTTGGGAACAAGTCCTCTCCTCTAACGCATGACCTCCCCATGCCCTCAGCATGTCCTCTCCTCCTGGCACACAGGGCTGCTGGTGCCCAAACGCTTTGTCACCAAGTGGGATGCTTAGCAGCCCTGCTGGGCCAGAGCCGGAGTCCCTGCTGTGGGGAGAGCAGGGGTGAGGGGAGGGTCCAAGCATGAAGCCCGAGGCCTATAGATGAAGCCCAGCCCAGCCCCTTCTCAACTGCATGACGTGGGGCAGCACCCGCGGTTTGAGTTTCAGCGATCTCAGTGTGGGGATCGCAAGGTCCGCACACAGGGCAGTTGCGGGGACTGAACGAGATAACACAGCACGCGTGGCACAGCACAGGTGCCTTCCAGCGAGTGGGAGCTGTGTCCTTCACGAGGCGGTGAGCCCTGGGAGGGCAGAGACCAGGCAGGGCTCATTCTTTGGGAAGTCTGAGGGGTCAGCGCAGTGTCTGACGCACAGCGGGCGAGTGTAGGGCCACGTGCCAGGAGAGGAGAAGGCGGCAAGGTGGGGGAGCTCAGCACCGCGGGAGGCCAGAAAGAGGGTGGCCAGAGGAGGGAGGGGAAGGGGGGCAAACGTAGAGCGGGAAGTAGTGTGGACAGAGAGGGAGGGCTGGGGGCGGGGCCCGCTGCAGAACGGACCAGAGAAGCGCCTCTGCTCCATGAAGTCCCGCTGGAAGGGCGAGTTGGTGAAAAGGAGGTCGTAGAGCTTGTCCACGCTGAAGTTGAAGACTTCATTCACGTACTGCCGACCGCTCAGGTCCTCATAGAAGGCCTGGACTTCCCCTGCACAGAAGACAGCACCAGGAGGTAGACAGTGACAGCAGAGGGGCAGGGGACCCCAGGGACATCTTCCCAGAGCAATTATGTCCCTGGCTAACGTAGACCCAGCCACCACAGAGGCCAGAGAGCCAGGAAGCTGGGCTCGTGGGCTACGCAGTCTATGAGTTTGCTTCAGTTTCTTTCCTTCCCTGGGATGCGCACTGTCCAGTTGACACTGTCCATTCATCCTTTACAAAGAGCTTGGGAAGGTACTTTTGCTGTTATACTTTCAAACCTCCCTAATTCAGTTGGTTTTTGACTAAAATTCAAATAAATGACTACTTCCTGAGGTTGCCTGAACCCAAAGAATGGGTTGTCGAGAGTCTGTATGTTAACTACAACTGACAACAAATGGCACTGCAAGCCATGGCACAGGTGTGCTCACGGGATGCCCATTAGTCAGGAGTCATCTGTTTACAGAACAGCTGCTAAGGCTGGGGCTCACCTGATGGGCTGCGATCCCTAGCTTCTCAGATCTGCTTTCCTTCCTCACAAGGCATCTATTTCTGCCGTGATTCCAATATCCTGCCTTTTAAACTGATGGCTGCAGCTTTAGCATATAGCGAAAGAGGAATACGAATCAGAACGAGCCAAGGGAGGGGCACACAGCAAGGTCTGGGAGGTTCCGGAAGTGGAGCTTCCTTCATTCCCAGGGATGCAGTACTCTCCGGGGACACCGATGCGTATCAATATACAGAATATTGCCAACCAGGGAATTTCCCGAATTTTCTAGCTGCTACAGGAGAACGCGCCTGAGGGTATAGGAGAGTTGCTAAAGCCCTAGCCCTCCCGCCAAACCCCACAGTCCCTAATTATGTATCCGCATGGGCGGGTATGTGATTTCAAGTGGGAGGCTGATATCTTTGAACCCAGGGGAGACTCAGGGAAGAACCAAGGAATATCCTACAGGGACAGTGCCTACGACTGCACAGATGGCATTGCCCAGGCGCAGTCTGGGTGCTATTCTCATCTCAGTTTACATGACTGGCACTCCTAGTGTTAGGCGGTACCCAGCCTGTGCTGGCATTTGCACTAGCTCTGGATCCTAGCTCAGGGTGGGCAACCCAACCAAAGGTCGGAAAACTACAACAGGTGACCCCTAGGAGAGATTGTCCACAGATCCACGAGTGAGCACTGCCTGCGTATCCTCACTAGTCATAACCTAGCACCAATTCGACGGAGCAAAACCATCGACCAATTTTATGAATGCTGAGGACTGAACTTTTCTCCATGGAATGCAAGAAGCAGCACATTCCCAAGTGAGGTCCCAGAAGCTAACCCTATGCAGCAGTGAAGCAAGAAGCTACCAGCTTAGAATAATCAGAGAGAAGACGAAGTCTCCAAAATCTATCTGATCCAGCAACGCTTTTTCTCATAGCCTAGCCCAAACACCCCAGGCTGGAGTCACTAACAAGTTTTGCAGCTTTCTTGGGGAAGTTTCACGTCTATTAAAAATTTAATTTCCCAGGAGCAGCTGACTGGCGCCTTCCTCATGGCATGTAAACATTGCCTTGCCTGCCTGTGAGGGACGGAGTCAACAGGGGGGTACATTTAGTGACAACACTGGATGGCAGAACAAAGCACTATCCGTCAAGCAAAGAAAGACAAACACAGAATGATGAGAATCCTGCAGTGAGTACCTGAAAAAAGGGATGCGTGATAATAACAAATGCACCTTTCCAACAAAGGCTCCGTCACCCTCCCTTCCACCAGGAACCCAGAGACTGACTCCCGTTCCCACGTGCCGGCCTCCTTTAGCCCTCACAACGGAGAGGGTAAGGGCTGCTTCAGACCCATCTTCACGTGCCCACCTTCGTCGTGGGTGTCAGAGGAGTCGCTGAGCTCCGTGGGGATGTCCTCATTGTCGTTGAAGTCCAGTGAAGGGGAGTTCACGGGAGCGATGATCTCAATCTTCTCCCCTATGATGTTGTCGATGGCAAGCTCCTTCTCCAGGGACCCGTCTCCCTCAAGCACCTCCTCCTCCAGGGGCAGCCCGTCGAACTGCAGCCGAGACAGAGGAGTCACCCACCAGGGCAATCTGCTCTGGATCTAGTCTCCAAAGAGAGGTTAGGGACCTGGTCTTGGCAGTCCTCATGATCCCAGCGTGGCTGAGCTGGAGTCACATTCTGGGGTCCTTCCCACTCTGCCGTGGAAGACGAGAGAACACACACGGGGGCTGCTGCCCAGCTTGCGCTTGCCATCCCAACAGCACACAAAGCCCCGCAGAGGACAGAGCTGGCTCTTCCAGGGCCAGGGCTTCTCCTGGAGCCACACCTCCACCATGCTATAACAACGCCAGCCTGCTCCAGGTAGTACTGTTTTCATCTAAGAAGCTCAAAGGCTTCATACGCATTTTTTGACTCATTTTCCCGTTAGCCTTGGAAAGGAATCAATACAATACATTTGAAAGATAACCTCGGGGACAGAAAATAAAGACTAGGCATCAATTCACTCTAAGGCCAGATGTTCTGACCTCTAAACCACTGGAAAACAAGGCTCCTTTTTTGGGAAGTCCTTTCCTGAGGAACCCACCCATTCTGCCTGCCAGCACATGCCCTGACCCTCTTCCTTCGTCAAGGTTCTATGTCCTCTATAACCAAGTCCCAGAGGACTGAGGCCTCTTACATATTTGTATACCTTCCACAAAGTCTAGCACAGTTGGAAAATAAACCTCAGTGCATGTACTAGGAACTCTAAATATTAATCAAATGAGTGAATAAACAATCACAGTTCTACAGTTCTATATCCATGCATGACTCTGATGTCAGATCGAGGCAGTGAAAAAAGACCTGGAATAGTTCTCCACCAGAGGGGCTGATCTGGGGCAGCCTTCCAAGAGCAAAGCTCGCACAATGGACTGGGGTGATGGTTTTCATCGACTCAGAGTCAAACCCAACCCGGTACCCCAGGCACCTAGAACCCAGCTCTGGACCCTGGAACTACACCACGAGAATACAGAGAACCATCCTCTCCAGGATGTCTCCTTGAATAAACTGACCACAATGTAACCAACCTCCCCCCTACCCACTCCGGTTCGGTTCCTGGGGCATTAACTAAGCTAGGAAACCCTGGCCACAGGACTGAGGGTGGAAGCAGGGGGCTGACTGCCCATACCGAGACAGGGGCTTCGCTGCTCCCTGTGGATGTCAGTGTGCTGTTGGTGATGGATTTCTTGGGCAGCTGTGGACTGGCATCCGGCTTGGTCTCTATGCTGCTCTTGGATGAGCTGTCATTCACTTCATTCTCTTCAACAGGGATCTCCTCGCAGTAGCTGAGACAAGAGGCCAGTGAGCCCGTGTTAACCTCAGTGGTCAAGATGGACGAGGATTCTAAGAACCTCAGACCTGTCTATCCATCCAAAACGATGGGATTTCCTGCTTCTTGGCATTGTGTATGATCTTCCTCTCACCAAGATCAACCTCCCCCCTCCCAATCTACACCTGAAACCTCCTTGCCATCTCACCCAACCCGTCCCTGACTCCATGTAAAGTTTCTGGCTCCAAACTCACCTTTTCTAGGCAACCTCCTTAGATTTATGCTATTAATAATATGACCACTATTATTCATCTTAAGCTATTTTTTCCCCATCAGTACCCATCCCATCCAGACCCTCTGAATCAAAGATCTGGGTTCTAAGCATACATTTCATTTCCCAGACAGTGACTAAGACAGGACTATGGACACAGTGCTCCCTCAGTGCTACTGCCCACATTCTAGATAACTAGTAAACTCCTCCACATTGTATACCTAAGAGGGAAAGCTCCTTGAGATGAAGGTGGGTGTCCTTCTAGGGACACGTCAGGGATGCCACTGCAGCCCTCCCCAAGGGAGCGATCATCATCTTTTTCATCATGATCATCAACATCTGATTTACACTCTACGTATCTTCCACATGTGTGACAACTCTCGGCAAATCACTACATGCATTTTAGAGATAATCAAATGGGTTTGCACAGAGGTGAAGTGACGTCACTGTTCGTACCCGAGCCCAGGTCTAAGTACTACGGCACACTCAACGCTCTCGCTTTCTATTCCTCTATGCCTCTCGCACGACCACCAAGCCTGCACCTACCTTTCCAAACTCAAGTACACTTTGCGCCAGCCTACTTGCAGTCCCCGTCTTCCTTACCCTATCGAAAGCACGTGACAGTGATTCTCCCTTCTCCTTCACTTCCTTCCCTTGGCTTCCAGGACACGCAACTATCCCAGCTTGCCTCCTCCCTCGCCGAATGTTCTTCCAAGATCTCCCTGGTTGCTTTTTCCTCTTGTTGAGCACTCCCAGGCCCAGTCCTTGAACTTCTTTTTACGTCCACTCTGTCACTTGGAGATTCCAGCCCATCTCATGGCTGTCCACTAATAACTCCCGAGTTTATGGCCCTAGCCCAGGCTTCCCCCGTGAACTGCACACTCACAGCTGAATGCCTGCTTGGCATCTCCTCTTGGCTAACAGGTATCTCAATCTCCACTTCCCTAAAATCACCCTCCCAATCTTCCCCTCAAATCTGCTCTGCCTACAGTATTGTCCATCTTCATTTAAAACAACTCCATTCTTCCAGATCGTAAAACCGAAAAAACCTTGAAGCTACTTTGGTTCCTTTTGGTTCCATCAGCAAATCCTTCCAACTATATTCAGGAACTAACCACTTAGTGCCATTTCTGTTGCTACTCTCCTGGTCCAAACTACCACTATCTCTCATCTAAATTACCTAAATAATTCAATAGCCTCTTATAACGGGTCTCTCGGCTCCTGCCCTCGTTTCCTTCAGTATTTTCAATGCAGAGGCCAGCGTGATCCTTGTAAAATGTTAAGTCAGACCTTATCAATCATCCACTCAAAACCTTTCCATCCCACTCTGAGTAAAAGCCAATCATTATGTTGGCCAAAAGGCTCTCAGATTCTGCCCGCTCCACCCTCCTGACCTCATCTCCACCACATCCCCCTGGTTCACTCTGCAGCCACACTGGCCTGCCTGTTGCCCCCTTGCCTGGAATGTTCTTCCCGCAGGTATCCCCCTGGCTCATCCCCTCACTTGCTCCAGGGCCTCACTTAGATGCCATTTTCCCAGCAAGGACTTCACTGCCGTCCTGCGCCCCCCAGCCCGCCCAGCCCTCGCTTACCCCATCGTGTTGAAGTCGTCATCGGGAGGTACGTAGTCCTCGTCATCACTGGTGAGGCCCAACTCGTTCCCGTAGCACTGGTGAACAAAGTGCCAGAGCTCCTTGGGGCACAGAGGCTGCAGGGGAGAAAAGATGTGACTCTGACCCTTCCTTTCTGAAGTCTCCCCCGTTCTGCCCAGGGGCACTGAGCTGGGCCGGCTCGCCTGGAGGTTAGGAGCCGTCGCCCTCTCTCTCCCTAGCTGAACTAGAGAAGAGCAGCCACCTCCATGACAATTGCATGCACCTTGGGGATCTTAGCAAGATGCCAATCATCTGCCAAGGAATACAGATTTTGGCAAAGCCAGGCATGCTGCCTTTCCTTGCCTGTTCCCTCAACAGAGGTTTGCAGAATGGGACCCACTGGCCCCTGGAGGATGGAACCTGCTTCATCTTCTGTTCCTACTGATGAGCTCCTGCATTAGTGGCATAAGCCCATGTTGCTCTGGGGCCCTGGGATCCCAGAGTTTCTCATTTGGACTCTGAATGAGCTCCCAGAGGTCCCCTGACCCAGTCTCCCGCACCGCCCTCCGCCCCAAGAAATCTTCTATATTAACTGTGGCCACGCAGGTCCTACTGGATCACTTCCAAGAATGAGGTTTGACCACAGAGGTGGCCCATTCCATAGCTGGAGAGGTCCTGTGGTTCCAGAGAGTTCTACATTCTCATCATATAAGGCGTCCAACCCTCTCTTGACTACCTGAATACTTCCTTATTCTGAAGTGGAATCGGTTTGCCTACAGTTCTATGCACTAGTTCCAGTGTTTCCTTATTTCACTGGGTACCTACAGGTCCCCCTTAAAAGCACTATCCTAGGAAAAGTTGGTTCTCATGGGGTTCAGTCTCCGGAGAGAGGTAGAAGAATGTCCAAGATCAGAGGTGGAGACCATGATTGGGAGGAAGGGGAGAAGATGGTGGGATACGTGTGTGGAAAAGACGGCAAGGGCATGAAGAAAAACAGGAGGAATCAATATCTTTTTTTAAAAAACTCAAACTTCAAAAATGTTTGTAACAATATACCTCGTAAAGGGTCTGAGAGCTCACCAAGCCCGCTCTTTCAAAACGTGGTTTAAGAAGCAGGCAGCTGGCAGGACACCATAAGCCAGCATTTTGGTTTTCTGACTAAGAGAACTGCCTGGGCCAGCAGGGTTTGGGGGCAGCAGCTCTCTGTGCAGCCCTCACAGTGGCCCAGGGAGGCACCTCCTCCTCCTTTCTCTGCAACCCCTCACCCCCACCATCTCTGGCCTTTATGTGCAACATTCACCCCACCTGGGACACATCTGCTTCTCTGCCAAACCATGTCCTACCCTGCTTCACTGGTCACCTACCCAGGCAGCCTTCCCTGACCAATTCCACCTGGCTCCACGTGGCTGATCACAGTTGGGACAAGCACAATTAGCAGACCCCCTTCAGCAGGAGAAATTCTCACAATTATTTTGCAAGGGCATTTGCGAAGCATATGGATGACCCTGTGTCTTATTTAGAAATGGCAATGGCGGTGAACTAGAAATTCAAACATGCCAGTGGAGGCTCAAACACGTTATCATTTTACTGTTACTGATGGCTAATAAGGGCAGAGGACCTCAGCTCAAGCACGTTTTCAGGATTGACACCAGAGCTATCAACTGTAAGATCAGAAGAAAATCTAAATAAGAAATCTGCTCAATTTTCTTATATAGCAACTAGTTTGAGCTAGAGTCAAGGCAAATATATTTATATGTTTAAATACATACATGTCAATCATACATATATATATATAAAATTAGCTAACACTGGGGGAAAATAATACACATACATGTATATATATATATGTACTATACACGCACAGACATATTGGCTTGGAGACAGTTTCCTAGCACCCGACTGCATCTCAGAGGAGCTCTCTAGGGGCAGGGACCATGCACCTCCTTCATCTGTGTCTCCTCACAGTGTCCTTTAAACATGAATAGTCAACCGGTGGCTGTGTTAACTATATTTTCTTATTTTCTGTATTTTGGATGCTCTAGCACCTGGGGCCTCGCTGACTGGCGAGGGACCCCCCAGGGTTAGCAAATGGGTAGAGAGAGAAATCAACTCATCTGGGAACATGCCCTCCACATGCAGCCAACCAATCCAAAGCCCACACTCCCAACTGTCCCTTCATCTAGCTCCAGATCATATTCCCTGGCCTGAACTACCCCAAGGCCAGGTACCAGGCAACCAGAGACGGCCCCTATCCCCTGAAGCCTGCTGAAATGGGCCAAACTAGCCAATCCCAACCCTGTTGGCTACTCCCCTACCTCACCCACTCCTTCCTGCAGAAACCACCACAAAGGCTCCTGCCCGCACTCTGCCCTCACTCCCTCTGCCTCCCAACACAGCCTGGCACGTCCCTGCGTGGCCCTGCAGGACATATTGTGCTTCCTGTTTCTGGGGCTCTGTGAACATGTTATGAAAACTTCTTTCTTCATCACAGTGTGTCTCTTACCATACCCAATTAAAACAAATCCTGGTACATTGAAAGCAGCAGGACTGACGTGCCTGAAGTCACCGAATGCCTTACTCCTGGCAGCCCTGAGGCCGTACACAGAAGAGGGTAAACTACTTCCAGGTCAACACCCTCAGAGGGAGAACGCGTTGCTCACCACGTCTGGGGGATTTCCAGAGCTATGAGGAAACGTGGGCTTCTCTGGAACTGGCCAAGGCATGGTAAAAGCAAACTCTCGATGGGGCCCACACCCAAGGGGACAGAATGTTCTGGGTGGGCATTCCTGCTGGGGCTGAAGGACATGGCCAGCCAGTACCTACCTTTTCCAGGAGAGCGTTCTGCCAGAGCCGGAACATCATCATGTACGTCCTATCCCGGGCCCCAAACGAAGTGAAGAAGTGCTGGATTGGAAGAGAAAACGGCAAGAAATGTCTGTTCAGACGTGCGATGTAATAGAGACACGGTCCTCCTTCCTTTAAGGAAAGATACTGAGTTCATCCTCAAATACTCACGACTCTCAGTGACCCGTGATCACACACAGCTGCATTAGCGATGGGCCAGCACACGGGGGTCTGGGCACCTGGGACCTGAGTCCCCACTGTGACCAGGTCTTTCAATTTTTAGCCACACCTTCCTCAGTGCTTCTCTCCCTGGTTTGAAATTCTCATCTCCACAAAAGATGTCCTTCACCTACCTCCTGGAACTGGGTAAGCGGGGAGCTGTGAACTAGTCTAAACGGAAGGACAAGACAAACCCACCGACCCTTTGCATTCATTCGACAAGTATTTGAATATCGGTATGTGTTAGGCACTCTTCTACAGGTTTGGGGTACAAGGAATAGAACAGAAAGAGACCTTGCTCTTTATCTGCTATTGAGGATCCTTTATAATACGCAGGAAGAAAAGAGAGAAAACCAGATTTTACTGATCCCCTCCGAGGTGCTCCATAAATGCCATTTCATTTAAACCATACAAAAAGACTGACAATAAACAAAGCTGCCACTAACAGACAGTAACAGGCTGGTGAGGTTGGGCAACACGTAGTATCAGATAGCTTGTCGGTACTGAAAACAGAATTCCAACCAAAGACTGTCTGACCCCAAGTCTGCTGGTCCTTGCCACTGAACCGCCCAAGTCCAAAGGAACCACGCCTCGAATCTATTAGTCTTAAGGCTCTGGTGAAAAGTTAAAGTTCACTATTTTCTCTGTCCCTAAATTCATCTACCACATTCTCCCCATACTATTAATACGAGGGACACTCCATTTCCATCGGACTCCTCCTCCTCTTGAGATATAATCAGCTATGCTGATACCAAATGATGACTATGCCCACGCACACAGTGCCTTACAATGTAGTGTTTTCAAATACGTGATGTTATTTCAAGAGCGTTAAATAGGTATTGCTGGCTCCATTTTACACATGAGAAAACTGAGGCTCAGAGAGGTTACATAACATGCTCATAGTCAGGGACTCAAATTCAGGAGTTTTGGCTCCAGGTTAAATGTTCTGCCAATCCACCCTTCCGTGATCAGCCTCCAGCCCCCCTGCCCATCCAGGAAGTGGTTCCTGGGATCCACATCACCCTCACTGCCCCTCCCCCCCGTCCTATTAGTGCAATTGGAGGGCAGAAGAAATAGGGGGAGGGGAGTGGAGGGCCAGGGGGAGTAGAAAGGTCAGAATCCAACTCCGCTTACCTTTTCTGAATCAGTGCAAACTTGGATGGCATTGGGAATGAGGCGAGCTGTTTTTTCTTTAGTCATGGAGCAGATGTCTTTCAAACGGACTGTCAGCTGGCATCCAATGGCACAGAGAACGGAGAACAGCAAGAGAGGCATTAGTGGAGTCGGGCAAAGTGTTCATGTGGCAACAGCGCAGACAGGGGAAACCAGACCACAGTTCACATCACTCCTAAGCCTGGCAGGGATCACCTGGATTACCCTCTTATTTCGCAAAGGCCACAGAGCAACGTAGGGACTGAGCCTCATCCACAGCCGTGAGTGCATTCTTAGTACAGGAAGCTCCTTTCTCATTTCTACAGTCTGCTAAGCGCGCAGAGGTCCTGCTATTATTTGCCACTTACAGAAACACACAACACTGGCAATGGATGGGACCATGAAAGGCACCTAGTTAATCTTTCTCCCCAAATCATACAGAATGAGGAAACAGAGGCAAAGAGAGAAAGGACCAGCCTAAAATCACACAGCTAATTAGTTGCAGCACCCAGAAAGTGTGAAAGCTAGTTCTTCTGAGTCCCAAGGCCAATATTCTTTTTGCACTTTACTATGCCTCCTTCTGCACTAACTCATGTCAAATATTCACCTGCATTTGCAAAAAGCAAAAGGTCTGAAGTCCTCTGTCCCACACCCAAGAGGGAGGAGGGGAAGACATGGTGGAGGAGATGCTATTATTGGGACTCAGAACTAGATATCCTTCAAGACTCAGGCATGTGTTTCTGTTGATTACACACAGGCTTGGGAAGAGCATGAAGTCAGCAAAAGGACGAAAGTGAGGGCAGCTTGCTCAGCCACACGCAGGGGAACAGCCCAAGGGAGCAGGCCCCAGATCTTTACCAGAGTTTCCCAGCGGAAGATGTTGCTATAGAAGCAGATCCAATTTTCAGAGAGGTAGAGTCGGCCCTGAAGAAGAATGTCTCTTTGGAGTGCACATGAGTAATCTGTGGTAGGGAGGGACACAGGGGACTGGCTCAGAGACAGGAAGCATCTTCAGCACACCATCCCTCGCACCGGCACCAATCTCCTACCAGTGACTACGGGTGCCAGACACTTCAACTGGTGGCTAAGGAAGTCCCTGGCATCTCATGATCGGGAACATAAAGATGGTGCACTGTGCAACGGCCTGGAGGCCGAGGAAGGAATGTGATAACAGAGGGGGCTGCAAAAGTTAAGAGGTAGGAAAGACCAACACAATTCAACTCACTTCCCTCCCCACACCCGCAGTTACGCAAACTCCTTCCACCGCTGGGCCATCTGCAGAGATAAAAGTGGCAGCGGCTCCTTCCAGGTCAGGCTCTTGAGGCTGCTGCAGAGCTGGTGCTCTGCCCTGAGCCTGGAAAGCTGGGGCCAGAGCTCTGGACATCCTCTCTCCCTGTTCCCAGACAGACGTGCTTACTTGGGTTGTCTCACAGCCTCCAGACAGAAGCAGCCCGTGCTATGCTGGGGACTCCCAGACTTCCTCCCTGCCCCTCCCAGGTCACCCAGCTCACCAACGATGAGGCGCTCCGTGTCTGGAAGTTGCTTAAAGAGCTTTCTGAAGTCTTCATTTCTCTGCTTGTAAGTGGGGCTTAATACCTGCATGACAATGGCCATGGTTAGCAGGATGCCCCTGGGTTCAGCGTTCCATGGGGTCGGGGAGGAAGGTGTAGGAGGAGCACTTGCTCGTGTGTTAAAAAGGCAAAGATGAGGCTCTGTTTTCCCACAGACGCTAGGAGCCACACGGTGGGGAGAATCTGGTCCCGCAAGACGCTTTGTAGCCAGTGCCCATCAAAGAGGAGATGTCGAACATACGAGGAGGGGCCCACATTGTATCTCACAAAGAGAAAGGAAGGAGGGACACCTCCAGGGGCTTCCTGGGACCCACCATGCCAGCTACTGCTGTCCTGCCTTCTGCCAGCTGGCAGTACCGCCTTGACAGTAAAGTGAGGGTCCAAGGGGGCTGCCGGCCCCCCAGCAAGGCCCAGGATATGATGGTGCCTAGCACACCTCTCAGAAGAAGGTGTTGTCATGACTAACACAATGAGCTCTTGGCTGTGTGTGAAAGACATGATTTTTTTTAACATTAAAACAATGCTAAAAAAAAAAAAAATCCCAAAACATAAAACGAGTGCCAGAACAAGTACACAAGTAGAGAATTCAAAAGCACATCTGCACACTGGAGGCACCCAACTTCGCTCCCAACCTTACAAGATTACCTAATCCAACCCCTACAGTACCGGTGAGGAAACTAAGGCCAGAGAGAAGCACCCTGTCCCAGCTCGTCAGTGGCAGGTCTCGTGATCCCTGGTCCTGTGCTCACCTCCCACCTAGCTTTCCCAGGTGCCTTGGTGCAGGTGCGAACCCACACACTGCCTTAGCAAATCCTCCTTGGAAATTCCTCGAGCCAGCTGAATACACAGGAATCCCGCCCTTTCAGGGCTTACGATCTTAAAGTTAGAAAAATGAAAATAAAAAACAATGCACGCCCGTAGATGAAGGGCACCCAAGGGTGATACACAAAAACAAGTGCACACCCAGGACGAGCCGTGCGTGGTGTCACAGACACACGTGCACTCCACCCACCGACGCGCTGACCTACTTGTACAGAGAGCACTGCTGACCCCAGCCAGGAGCACGTGCCTGCCGACGGAGTCTCAGCTGACAGTGACACGTGGGTCTTGGCTATTTACACTTCCTCACCCTCTTCCCTGAGGCTCCACCGGCACACAGCTGTGGTGACGAGGAAATGAGCCTTCGTCTTTTTATTTCTTGGCTTTCCGTAAAGCAAAATGGCGCACAAGGAAGCGGAGGCTGTGCCTGCCACATCTGCAGCACCCGTGGCCCACTGAGCTGTGGCCCGGTGGTCTTTGTGCTAGAGCGAAGGGTGTGCTTGAGGAAGTTAGGGGGCAGAAAAATGCCATGACTTTAGTTTGGAGAGGTTTTCCAGAGATAAGAGGATGCTTTCAACCACTTTGTTCATTTCAATTTTCAAATTTTGTTCTGGGCTTATTTACAGAATGAGTTCCACTTGCAATGGCACATGCCCTGTTAGCTTTCCAAAAGCAATGCTAGGCTGTCACAGAATCACAAACTTCAAACGTCACCTGCATATGTTTGAACCAAGTATCAGGGCCATTGGGAGTGAGTAGCTGGAAGACAGCCCATCCCATGACTTCTATGGCTAAAAAAATCCTTAGAGACAACATTCCTCTGCTCCATACATTAGTTTCAAACTGGTGTTGAGATATCCAATCTTGATGGCCCCTGGGCCTCTCAGAACAGAGTCCACTCTCTGAAATACCCGAATGACAAGCTCATTATGTCTAACTGACCATCTACAGCTCTTATTCAGCTAACTCGGAAAGAGTTAGTATCACATACCAGGCACAGCCGAAAGCCCTTTGCAGGTTTCACTGCATCTGACCACAGCGTTGTTTTTATTTTCCCATTTTACACTGCTCTGGGAGCCCCCACTAGCCTTCCATGACCCCTAATGGGTCTTTATATTTACAAATTTCCACTACCAGCCAGGGAAGCAGCCCACAGGTGGCCCCAAACCCCCTTCAGGTGAAACCGACATCGGGCATCCAATAACCAGAAGCCTGGAAGTCCTCCCAGTCCTCCCCCTTCAGTTCGCTTTCCGTAGTGCTCCCTCCACCTTGCTTCTCTCATATCCAGTGACAGCTCACATGTCTACAGTGGGGCAGGGGGGAGGCAGGGAGTTTGGTCACAGTCTCCAACCTGCAGGCAAATCGAGGGGGCCGCTCCTCCCCTCGGAACCATGCTGCAGTGGTGGGGAGAGGACAGGGCATATTTAGCCCCGGCCTCTGCGGTCAGCCAGTCCTACAGGCTCATTAAACCAGGCTCAGCAGTAAGTGCTCTATTCTATCAGGCTGCAGAGGGGGATGGCAGGCCACCTGTCCCCACTGGAGACTGAAGAATAGACACCTTAGTGGGGTACACTGTGCCTGCCGCCACACACCCCCACGATGCTAGAGACCACGGTTCTCTCCCTCCCAGCCCCTACAAGCTTAAAGCAATCTCTTCTGGAGGTGAGGCATGGCTCACCTATTTTAATTTAACATGGCCAAGGAAGTTTGGTTCAAGCATTGTCAAATCTGGGCCCTCAGGGAGCAGAGCCAAGTGGAGCATGACAGGGGTACAGCAGAACTGCCACAGAGACACAGAGAAATCGGGTCACACACTCACGGCTGGGATTTCCTCAGATCCATGCCAGCAACAGTGTTCAGCACCTGTAGGCACGTCGGTGCACCTCTTCAGGCACCATCGCAACGACTGGCTTTCCCACTCCAGCAGCAGGTTCCAGAGAACCCCAGATTCCATCAACGATTCCATCGCCCCCCACGGCTGCCCCTCTCAATGGAGTCCAGCTCCTTGAGCTCTAATTCCCAGCTGTCCCCACGGGATGCAGACAATTGGCCTCACTTGCACTGAGGCAGACGGGCAACCTCTGGTTTCTCGGTAGAGGGTCTGCGTGGCCGTGATGTCCTTTGCTTTCCTACGGCTGCGTTCCCACTGCGGAACCTCCCACATGGGAGGTCAGCGTGGTTCTTGGGATAAGTTGGCCAGCCATTCCCCCCTGGCAGGGCTCTGCTCTGTCCTTCTCTGCTGGTCTTCAGGCTAAGGGTAGTCCAGAGGGGGTGTGGTCAAGCACCTCCTCCCGGCCAGTGCAGTTTCCCCAAGAGTCCAGAGGACGCAGACAGCACAGCAGGTGCACTGGGTGGGCTGCAGGCCCTGACAGGCAGGCGTTGGGTGGACAGGCAAACTTTGCGGGAAGAGGATGACCCACAGCCGGGTCCCGGGTCTCACCCCGCCAGTTACTCACACTCACACTCTGCAGAGTCACGCATAGTTGGTCTGAAGCTTCAGAGAGCAAATCAACTGCTCAGCTCCCCAGATGCAGTCTGGCCCATCGAGTGGCACATTCAATCAAGGTGCAATCTCTCCCCTGGGCGGGGGCTGGTCGCTATGACTCACAGCCCTCACCCAGGCGGAGTGGCCACCACTGGCTGCAGCAGCAGGGCCGGCTCTCACCCCCAGCCCAACACACACCCCCCTCCTCAGCCCATGGTCCTCTTGCCTGACCAGCAAACAAGCTCTTTGTTAGAGTCACTCGTGGCAGGAGGGAGGGAGGGAGGGAGGGAGGCAGAGCGGGTGGGCGGGCAGGGCCCGAGCCCTACGCATGCTTCAAGTTACACGATCTGGGTGATGGTCCTGGCCAACGTCCTCTAGTGACCCCCAGCCTTGCCTGGCCTCCCCAGCAGATGTTTCCTGCCAGGGAAAGTTGCTGGCCAGGGCTCTGAGTCGGGGAGGGGCATGGGAGGTGCCAGGGCACGGCTGTTGTGATGAAATCTGAAATCTGAGACTCAAACAGCCAAAAGCTTCTTGGAGACACACTCTCCCCTCACTGACCCATCCACCCACCACCTTCCCTGTAGCAGCGGAGGCAGACTGGGCAGTCTTACTGAGCTAGGTGCTGGTGGGGGAGACGTTGAGGTCAACAGCGTTGGGGTCTGTCTGAGGCACCTCCTTCCTTTCCAGGGGCCCCGTCCCACCTTCAGCACTGGCAGGAGGAGGCCAAGGCCAAGAGGATCCCCAGACACAGCTCGGACCTGGAGGGCAAGGCAGCAATGCTAAGGGCAGAGACTTTCGTCCCTGGTCAAAAGGAGGCAGTGAAATCCACGGAGAAAAATGAAAACCAGGCCTGTGGGGACACAAAAGGCTCGAGACTGAGAAGCTCAGCACAGGGATGCGACAGCAGTGGGCCTGGGGAGATGTGGCTTCCCAGGAAAAGTCAGACCCTTAAAACAAATAGGGTACTTCCTCCCCCTGCCCAGTGATGCCACCTCACCAGGAGGGACTTGGGCCTGCATGTGATGAAGAGTGGGGCCTTTGGCCTAGCAGTCTTGGTAATTTGATACAGCTGCACTGAAACTTTAGCGTCCTTAAAGATGACCCGTGGACACATTTAAAAATGTAGACTCCTGAGTCCCCAAAGCAAAGATGCTAACTCAGAGGAACCTGGGTTCTCCCAGGTAAACAGTGTTGGACAAGGTAGAGGAAGAGTGTGAATCCTCCCCCAAACCCTCTCCTAACGAGCTCCTACACGCCTGTCTAGATGGGCACCCCCTGGATCCAGCCATCACTCCATTCATCACACAGGTAACTCCGTTTACAGACTACCGGCTTCTCCAGGGAGGATCTATGCCTCCAACAGGTTCATATCTTCTACAGCTCTGAGCACAATGTGTTTCAAATATAGGTTGAGCATCCTTAATCCTAAATTCCAAAATCCAAAATTTTTTGAGTTGACAACATGATGCCACAAGTAGAAAATCCCACACCTGATCTCATTTGACAAGTTGTAGTCAAAACTTTGTTTCATGCACAAAATTATTAAAAATATTGTATGACATTATCTTTAGGCTATGTGTATAAGGAGTATATGAAACAAATGAATTTCATGTTTAGACTTCTATCATTTATATATATGCAAATATTCTAAAATCTGAAAAAATCCTAAATCCTAAACACTTCTGGCCCCAGGAATTTTGGATAAGGGATAAGCAGGTATCAGGGTGCTCAAAAAGTATTTACCAAGTGAATGCATTCCTCATCCAAGAGAATGCATTCCTTATCCACTGCTCAGATGGGTTCCTATTTACACCATATCTTATCTGTATGCACACTGAGCCCTAAAACCATACCCATGGCTTCTAGGAGCCCAGCCCCTGCCAACACTCTCTTCAGCACACATCCCAGCTTCTGTCCGCCCTGCACGTCAGCCTGATCATTGTAGCAGGTGAGCACAGCAATTCCATTTTCCAGGGTGACACGAATGCCTCTCTGGGCGAGACCAAACCCTAGGATGTAGATAGATAGCTCCATAAGGCTCTGGATCCTAACAGTAATTACCCGGAAGTACATTAGTAGCTCTACAGGCCAAATGAGAGAATGACTGGTTTGGGCTGTAAGGGGTGAGACGGGGACAGGACAGACCCAGAGAGATAACGCCCTGGGAGAGAAGTCTCAGCATACGGTAGCCTTTGTCACCTCCACCCCCTAACCAGGGACAGGGCAGGGCAGGGCAGGGGCCTGCAGAGAGGCAATTGGCCCTGGGCTAAACATTAACTCTATGATAAACACTCGGAGCTGGGACCAAGTGGTACCCCGTCCCCAGGTACAGCAGGAAGGAAGGGGTGGAGGGGCCAGGAGAACAATGGATTTCGGTGGAACGCTGACCTCACCTGGGAAGAGACCAGTTAAGATCCATAAGGGAAACACTGACCCTCCAGCCACATCCAGTAGGCAGAAGCCAGAGGTGGGACTAGGAGACAGGGAGACAGGGAGGGGACAGAGCACAGAAGGCAGAGAGACAGGGGTGGGGCTGGGAGTGGGGGCTCATCTGGAGAAGGCTAGGGATGGGGTCACAGGAGGGGGGCTCAGGAAGACTTTTCAAATTAGTGGGTGAATACAGAGGGGAGGTGGACAGAGGCAGAGGAAGCAGCGTCAGCCTCTGGGGAAATGCCAGGCTGCTGGGCTTGTCGTCTGCAGCTCTCCCACTCTCCTCGCTGCCCACCCCCAACACCCTGAATTCCATTCCTGCAAAGCTTGGTGCTTTTGTTCTCAATCTTACACCAGCCAGACTCGCTTGGCCATTCCAAAGGCTTGGCACTACCCTCCACCAAGCCGGCATCCCTAACCGGGGGTGCTAAGTCTCTGGCTGCTGCCGGCGTCTGGGTCCTGTGCTCTGATCTCAGAAATGCTCCTTCCCCGGGCTGCCCTGGGGACGATGCCCTGCAGGAATGAGTAGTAGTGGGCAGAGGAGAGTACATTCGCTCACCTGAGGCACAGGGAGACCTGTGTCAGTGCCTCTCACCCGAGACTCGAGCCCACTACGCCCAGCAGGAACTGTCTTTGGGGGGCAGATTGCACTCCTCCCGCCCCGAAGGCCCTGGCCAGGTCCCCTCCAACTCTGCCTTGGCTCCCTGCTGAAGGCAAAGCTCTGTTTCTGCTTTTCCCTCCATCTCACATCTACTGGGGCTGTACCTCCAGAGCTGGGGGCTTGAGGAAGGAGACAGGGGTGGCAAACTGGGTGGTGGGGTGAGGAGGGTAGGTACAAGTGGGCCTGGGAGGACCTCAGGGCATTTGTAGATGGCATGGGCTTCAAACCCCACTCTCGACCCCCTGCTTTCCCGCCACAGCCTTTCCACATGTCCCTGGGGTCCAGACATGTTCCTCCATGTCACCCACTCTTTAGAACAAGCCGGTTTGTCATCATGGTGACAGCTCCTCCCTGGCTAACCATGTAAAAGTAAAATGCTCTTTTCTTCTGCAGACAGGTGGCAGGGGAGGAGGGAGGCTGGGGCAGGGGTGGGCGATAGGGGTTGGCTTCCTTCCATCCTAGACCCAGGCTGCTCGAGTGGGCCTGAGATGCTCTCCCAGTGGTCAGCGACTCTGCAGAGCACCGGCCCTCGCTGCTCTGAATCCAGCCAGGGGCTCCTAACAGTCGCCAGGGCTGGGGATCACAAAGCCTTCACCTATCTGAAGAACTTCTAGTGCAGTGATGGAGCCTCGGGTACCCGGAGAGAAATTATACAGGGCTGTGAGCAGAGCTGAGAGGCGGAGAGAGAAACCCTTCCTGAAGGTAGGATTCCAATGAGCCCAGGGCAATGCAGAGGCAAGGCAGGAGGGCTGAGCTCCCTGCAGGAAAGCAGAAGGCCAGGTCAAAGCGGTAGGGGTGGGGCAAGAGCCTCACCCAGGCGGACTGCAGGGAGGGTGGGCGATCGCTGGGGAGTGGCGCTTGCTCAGCTGTAGTTTCCTGATGAGGCATCTGGACACGAGAGCACAGGCGAATGCCAAGCACACTGAAGGAAGAGGGTGCCCGGCCGCCCAAGGGCAAACCCCCAGGGTGACAGCATGAGTCCACAAGAGGGAGGGGGCCCTCCACCTGCTCAGCACAGAGCAACCCCCCCCCCCCCAGTGAGCTTGCCCTCCGAGAACAAATGATCTATGCTGAGTGGAGAGCCAGCGATGTTTCCCTCGTTCATTTGGGGTAAGGGTGGAGAGTGACAGGAGACCACCTAGGATGAATAAAGGCTGAGCCACAGGACAGGACCGGGACACAAGCACGTCCCAGAGGGTGATGTGAAGAGGCAGCGAGATCAGACTGCTTTGGTTTGTCTCAGCTGCAGGTGGGATCAGTCAGGAAGCAGGGCTCCAGCCATGCCCGACTGCTCTGACTTCTGGCCCCAGGTGGCAGCTGGCCCACCCCATCCTCCAGCCAAGAGACAGCATCTCCTTCGAAGCCCGTCGCTATGCTGACAGAATGACACGGAATGAATGGGTGGAGTCAGGCTTCTCTCCCACCCCGGCCACCTCAGCCCACAACGTCCCTTCTATCAGTATAGCCCATCTACCCGGTATCAGCACAGCCCTCCAGGGTGCTGGGAGGGCGAAGGCTCGCAGATCAATCAACAGCACCCAGGACAGGCAGGCCACTGGCCAACAGGGGGGCTCACTGGCATGAGCTTGACGTGCCAAGTAGGAAGACACACGGCCCACACGAGTGACCCCATCCCTATATCCCCCCCATGCCTCTCCCCCAGCCCCCCATCCTGTCTGTCACAGCCACCTTCCCCAGCAGCTGCCCCTCACCTACGCCTCCTGCTTGACCAGAATCTAGAGAGAGGCTGGGGGCAAAGGCAGATCAGAGTCTCGTGTGAAGACAGCAGGCTCAGAGGCCAAGGCAATGGCCAGTCCCACCGGAGGGCAGAGTGCACGTGGCGGGGGCCAGCTCAGAACCTCAGCCAGCTGCTTTTCTGGGGAGAAGTTCAACATCACACAAGCCAGTCTGTGGGACTGAGAGGCTGTGGCCTTTGTGGGGACTGCTCACTCCATGACACAGTTCCTGGGTATGGAGCAGATGGACCTAGCAGATGGCCCCAGGCCACCCCTTCCCCACAGACCCAAGGATTAGAGAGGTCTTCTGGAAGGAGCATGCTTTTCTGGCTATTGACGGGTACCTTGGGAAGTCAAATTCCATCACAGGGCACAGCCTTCCCAATGGGGGAAGTTCTCTGGCAGCCTTTCCCCCAAAATGTCTTAGTTAAGGGGAAAAAAACTAAGACCGCCCCCTCAAGGCTACCCTAACCCCTGAATTCTGTCTGGCCAAGAACGGCCACTCCTCCCATGACTGGCCCCCTCCCTGAGCACAGAAAGAGCCTTGTCCAACGGTCTGGGTGAGGTAGGGGATAAGATAGGCCATCCTGCCTTGGTTTCCCCGAATCAAACCCCCCTTCACCAGTAAGGCTGGTCCTGTCCCGCTGTGGAAGATAACCGCTGCAGCTCTTCTGGGAGCTGGGGGAGCCCGACTGCACTCCACACCCCTTCCCCGCCCACCTCCACTCCCCCTCCCTCTGCACACGTGCCCACCAAGAAGAGAAATAGGGATACTTACATTATACCAACTCTGGCTTTTCTGCAAGGACAAAATAGAAGAGAAGTAAAATTAGTCAGGGCAGGGATGCAGGGACGTGCCAGGGCATTCCTGGCTCAGAGGGTTACACGGATAGCAGGGGTGGGCGGGAGGAGGAATCCAATGGCAAGTGGATGCTTCCCATGTTGCTGCTCAGGGGGGGCCTCCTTTCTCAACACAGCCCCAGAAAGGAGGCCCAGGGAGCAGTCCATGCCGGAAGCCCCCGCGGGAGGGTGGCAGGCAGCAGCACCAGCTAGAGCTCAGCCGGAAGGGAGGCGGAGCCCCATCGTGAGTTCTGATGGGGGCAGGGGATGTGTGAGGGCATCCAAGACCCAGTCCCCAAATGGGCCCTGACCAGAAGCAAAGTGCACACGGAGGCCAACCCATCCCTCTGGGACACCTTGGTGGTGGGGCAGAAAGGAGCCTGCCTATGAATTCCCTCCAACCGTGCTCTCCGCAGGCAGTGAGTAAATCCCTCCCGGATCCCAGCAAGGGGCTGATCACCTAATGGCGGAGCGCTTGGGGGTTTCTACCTAGGAGGGAGGTTGAAGCACAGACTCTCTGGGGGTCTTTTCCAACCCTGTGGTGCTACAATTCAATACCGCAAAGCCGAACGCTGCTCCAGCTCAGAATTTAGGTGTTCTTCGTTCCCCACCCAGGAGGAACGGGAGGAGAAGAGGAGGGAAGGCTAAGACGGTGCCTCGTCGGACTCCCAACCCTGTGGCCAGGAGTCTTTTATGCACATCCCACTCGGAAGACGGACGGACACACACACACACACACACACACACGCACGCTCGCCCGGGTCCCACCCCTTGAGGTGCTGATCCAATACGTTTAGACTGGGGCTGGGGTATTTTCAGTTTTAAGAAGCCTGCCGGGGTATAACTAAGGTGGAGAGTGACTGCGGAGAGGGGAGCTTTGCCCGCAGGTCGACACCTTAACTCTCCCCAGAGGCCTGGACGCCAGGTACGATTGGCAACCTTTTTCCCCTCCGCTTGGCGTTAGGGGGCTCTGACTTACAAGGGCAGAAGAGGGCAGCCACTGTCTCTGCGCGTCTGTCGGGAGAAGGTGACTATGTCCCCGAGGGCGGGCGAGTGTGACCACGGTGATTACTGGTGGTCACGTGACCTATCTGCCCCCTCTCCAGGCTCCCCCATGGCACCCGAAGAACTCTGGAGAGATGGTCCCCCTTCACTCCCAAGCAGAGGAGGCGGAGGTGGGCGGTTGAGGGGGGGCCAGGTGTGGGTGCTGCTCCCTCTGAGTGGTTTCACCCTCACGCCCGACCTCAATGGCCAGGATGTGGCCAGGGGAGCAGACGGCAAGGCAAGCCCCCCAACCCCTCTGCAAGGTACCTGCATGGTCATTTCAACAGAGGCTGTCACCATGGCCCCATGGGGAAGTCACCCTCTCCCACCACAGCCTCATCCCCTCCTTCGATCCAGCAGTCTCAGCAGGTAAAGGGGCCAAATCCGAATATTCAAAAGCAACTATTTCGTCACTGAGGGAGGTGCCACCACATGGGGACCCTGGACCTGGAAATTCGTCTCTAAGCGTGTGAGCTTAGGCTGCCCGTGTCTGGAGGAGGGTGGTTGGGGCAAGCAAGCTCTATCCGACTCGATCTGCCCCTTGGGACGTCTTATTTCATGGGTCCCCATACGGAAGCCCCAACTTGAGACCGTAGGGCCTGAGGCTGTGCGGATGGTCATAAAAACACACTTCCCTGTAGTGGGGAGGCAAACCTTGGGAGCTGCCAGCCCCGACTGCCCCACGGTTCCATGTGTTTCATCAAACCCACCCAGGTCATCAGCGCCTGGCCTCGCAGCTGAGAAATCCCATCACCTATGCCCCAGCTCCTCAACCCACGGCCCTGGCCTGCGTGTAAGACTCCAGGAGAAAAGGGAGCAACAGGAACGTGGGCTGAGTGGGGGCAACCAAGATCCTCTGTGATTCCTCCTACACGGCGCTCCCGCCTGCCTCGGGTGGACAGGAGGAGCTCGTCCCTTTTCATGTACTGGCACGTTGACACTTGTCCCTTCTGATTGGTTTGGAAACAAGCTTCAGGGTCACAAGCAGCCTCAACCAGGGAACCTATGTCCTGTCTCTAACTGGCTCTGTGATTCCCTTGTGTCGAGTATCTGCTCTTTGTAAAGGGTGGATAAGAACATGTTTCTCCAGTACTGAAAAGAAATGTGAAACACACCAAGGACTTTTGAGGCCCTACCCCTAACCAGCTATCTCTGGGCAGCTTCTTACCTGCCATCACGGAGGTTACAGCCAGGAAAAATGGGCCCTCACCCCCCGAGTCAAATCCACAGTAGCCCCCCCAGACTAGCCACTGTGGGCAGGAGCCCTGACCTTTGACCAGCCTCTTAGAAGCGAGTTTGCGCCTTGCAGTTCTGCACTCCTGGGAGTGAGTCCTGAAGGAGCCGCCGGTCAGCAAGGGCAGCGGGGCTGCAGGGCTCTGAAGAGGGGTGTCCGTGGCACAGCGGTGCGTAGGACAGGGCCAGAGGGGAGGAAAACACGGAACTAGGGAGCCTGGGCTTCTCTGAGCACTTTGAATGGATTTGGCTACAGGAAGAGGAGGGAGTCAGGGCAAAGCAGAGCTCATTTGAGGTTTCTGTCGCCGTCCCTAGAAGAGGTGTGAGGAGCAAGCGCCTAAAGGAATGTGAGGGTCCTGGAAACAGACCCAAGTCACCTCAAGGTGGTTTCCAGAAACATCTCCCACTGCAAAGGCTCGGGGAGTCTGGAGGATGGTGGGGGGCGGGGACTAGAGCTCTACATTTAGTAGGAGTTAGAACAAAAAAACTTCTTACTTTGATCAGGTTAAGTCTGTCATACTGGAAAGAAAACCACATAAATTAGAATTGAAAAAAGGGGTAAAGTCCAAGGAGCATCCTTGCCACCGCGCCAGGGTGGTGCCGCGCATCCACCAGCGGGAGGCACGGGGCAGGGCAGGTGTCCGCCCGGCTCCCTCTCGTGGCCGCAGGCCGTCACTGCAGAGCGGAAGCTGGTCCTGGGCGGCTACAGTCCGCAAGGGTCAGCCGCGGCACAGCGACAGAGCCAGGAGTGGGGCCTGAGAGCCTGCCCAGTCCCACCCCTGCGTATCGGCAAATGAGGGAACGGAGGCCCAGAGAAGAGAAGAGACACTGCGCACCTGGCCTGCCTCCAGGGAGTAGCGCGGGCGCCCTCCAGCTTCCTGAAAATTATAACCCGTCGCCTCCTCTAGGAGGTGAGCAGGAGACAGGGAGTGAGGTGGCCTGGCTGCGACAAGAGCCGTACCAGCTCTGGCTATCAGATGGACCTGAGAAGATGCTGCACCGGCGGAGGGGCACGTCCCCGCCCCACCAGCACACCTTCCTCGTCGCTTGCCTCCCTACACCAGCCAGTCCTACTTTAACTCCCATCAGAAGAAGGTGGGGCTGGTGGCCATGGTAACGGCAAGAGGGTGAGGAGGGGAAGCAGGCGGCCACTGCCCGAGAGCTCAGAGAATGCGTCTGCTGGGGACAGGCATAGCCTCAGTCCACCCGCGACCGCTCCCCGGCCCCTTAAGCAAGGGGGCCAAGCTTAACTCTCCGTTCGTGCTCAGCAATCGTCCCTCCATAGAGCTCATTTCTGCCTCTCCAAAATCCCACTGGGAATTCCGCCTGTTCCCCGACACATGTCCTGGCCGCCCCACTCACAAATCATTCATGATTTCTCCTACCTCTGAATTCATGTAACATCCCAAACTACTCAAGTGTTTCTAAAAGCCAGGCTTGGTTTGCAGAGAATCTGGGCAACGGACTGTCTAACTTCACCTCTGGAGGGAAACGGGCGCGGGTTCTGGGCAGAAGCAAGAGGGAAGCAGAAGGAAGAAACCGACGCCCAGTCAGGCCTTTCTGGGCCCCGAACACCTCCCAGTCCCCATGTCAGCCAAGCCAGAGGTGCGAGGGGCTCAGGAAGACTGCCCAGCTCATGGCAAAACCCTGTCCCCGGACGGTTGCACCTGCCCAGCCACCTGCACCCATGGAGAACTCCTGCTGGCATCCTCAGGCAGTGTCCTCCTCCCCTGCCCGCAGTCGGCTACAGCCATTTAAAATCCTCAGAGATGTGCTTTTCGTCTGAAGGTCACAGACTTGGGATTAGCCGTGTAGCCTCTTGTTCTTCCCTCAAGAAAGAGAACAGCTGTTCACCCTCCTCCTCCCCAAAACACTTACAGAGACTTGGGACTATTATTAAGTCATCCTCTGCTTTCTCCTCTTCCGGCTGCAGCCCGCCGGGCCGTGGGTATGGTTTCCTGAGCCCTGTTCTACAATACCTACTGTTCACCCTCCCCCTTCCCCTCAGGCCTGGCACTGCGTCCCTCACCTGGCCACATCTTCCCAGGTCCCGAGGGGCTGCTGTCACAGTCCCCAAGCTCCAGGTGCTGGCACGGCACCCTCTGAGACAGCAGTTCTCTCTGACCACAATCCAGGATCCTGAGAAGGCCATGAGCCCCCAGGGCTGGGCCGGGGTGGCTGAGCAGCTATGGGGTGGGGAGCACGGGGTGCAGCTCCTGAGGGCGCTTCCGCTGTGCCAAGGCACTTGTCCACCTGAACTCCACCCCTCAATCAGCACGTCCTTTCTGCCACCCCTAATCACTCCTGTCAGGGAGTCTGGAATCATCCACCAAAGGTAGGGGGGTCAGGACCTGTGGTCTGGCCAGATGGGGTCTCCCACTCCAAAGAAATAAAACTCATCCCTGTCAGGACTCTGCTTCTAGGTGGCACCATGTAAGGAGAGAACCATTCCCAGCCAGAGGCAGTGTTTGGGGAGCAGGCAGACGGGGGTGGGGTGGGGTGGGGTCTGTCCTCCGACATAGGGTGCAGTGGGAGTGGGACCTCAGTGACTTCCAAGCCAGCCTGCCAGGGACAGTGGGGCCGGCCCTTCTGGGAAAGGGACCAAGCAGGACATAGGGGCCAGAGTGGGCAGGGGCAGAGGAAGGGGTGCTGAGCACTACAGACAATCCAACGCTAGAGGGGGGATAAAAAGACAGACACAAAGATGGCTTACTTTTGAGAGGCGCTTGTGAGACTAAGACCATGCATGCAAAGAAGGTATTTGGGGAATGGTAGGGAAGAAGAGGAAGAACAAGAAATCAAAAGACAAATTCAGGTGGGAAGCCAGCCCCCGTGCCCCCCAGGGGTACCCAACCCCACCCCCAGCCCTAAGAGTCCGCAGGTGAAGAGAAGCTTCTTGAAGGAGCACCTGGGCAAAGATAACTCTTGCTTCCCAGAAGACTGGGGGTCTCCCAACCAGCCCAGGGCTCCCCCATGGCTTATTTTATGCATCTCCCTGGGCCAAAGACCCCAGCGCTCAGGTGGCAGTGCTGACATTCTTGGGAGGGACGGAAAAGCCCTGCCACCGTGCTCTCTGCCGGAGGAGTACCAAGTGGGTTAGTATTAAGGTAAGGCAGGATGGTGGCCAGGAAGGAGGCTAAAAATAGCATTCTGCAGGGTTCCCTAAGGACTCTTTCCCTGGCAGTATAGTTGTCCCAAATAATGTTCTCTTCTATGCCAGCTTTAGGGACGAAATTTGAAAAAGGTAGCAGAGATAAAGCAATGACCACCTCCTGATCCCTGGAGCATCCTTCCTCCAAATCACAAGGAATATGAGGCTCCCTAGCGCATGGCCCCTCTCAGAGAGCTTGGCTGGGCCAGGGTCTCGCCTGCCTGCCCCGCCCTGGCCTCACCCAATGCAGACTCTCTCTGGGACACCAGGGCCATTCGATCACATCCCTCGAGGCGGTTCTCTACCTCACGGTCCCCCAGTACCACGTCCCTGCAGCCCCCTGACACCGAGGTGCCAAGCCTCCGGCAGGGTCCAGCTCACCTTGGAATTTTTGCCGCCACTCCGGCCGGACTGGGAGGAGCAGCTGCGCTGCACACCCTGCTCTGGTGTGGACGGGGATTTGTCCGAGGAGTGATCTGAGCCCTTCTCCACCATGGTGTCTCCGTCCTGGTTCTGCGGGGTTGGCGAGCGAGACCGCTTCCGGAGGATGGGTGAGCAGGCCGGTGTGCTGCGGTTTGAGTTACTGGCAGTGCTGCAGGGGCAGGTGGAGAGAGGGAGTGGGGTGGGAAGGGGAGGAGGAGAAAAGGCAGGCAGTCAGTGATCCGAGGCCAAAGACAAGTCTAAAGGAGCCAGCTCAGGGAGCCGTGTTGAGGGACTGGGGAGAAACGGGGAGAACGGGCCTGGCTATGGACTTACTGCACCACAAGCAATACTGCCACTGGCCACAAGAGGGCAGTAGTGCCAATGTGAAAGGGGAAACAGGACTAGGAAGGGACAGGTGGGGCCATGAGACACATAGATATCCATCCATCCATCCATCCAACTGTAGTGAGCCCCTATTAGAAGCCAAGAACTGTCTAGGGAAAACATAATTTAAGACTCGTTGGAGATTATCCAATATAATCAGCTCATTTTATATATGCTGCAAATCCAAAGTTTCCTTTCTTTCCTTCTTTTCTTTCTTTCCTTCTTTCGTTCCTTCCCTTTCTTCTCTTCCTTTCTTTCCTTCCCTCCCTCTCTCTCCCTCTTTCTCTTTCTTCCCTTCCTTCCTTCCTTGTCTCACTCTGTTACCCTGGCTAGTGTGCAGTGGTCTCATCACAGCTCACTGTAACCTCAAATTCCTCAGCTCAAGCGATCCTCCTGCCTCAGTCTCATGAGTAGCTTGGATGACAGGTGCGCACCACAACGCCTGGCTACTTTTTAAAATTTTTTTTGTAGAGCTGGGGTCTCTCTACATTGCCCAGGCTGCCCTCAAACTCCTGGCCTCAAGCATTCCTCCATTTTGGCCTCCCAAAGTGTTAGGATTACAAACATGAGGCACTGCACTGAGCCCCAAATCAAGTTTCTATAGTTTGTTTGGATATTTTTGTTCATAAAAATAACAATAATCATCCTACTTTTTCAAAACCTTCACATACATATTATTTCACTAGGTTCTTAAAAAACATTCCAGCAAGGTAATAATGCCAAGTACCATAATCGCTATGCTTAAAAAAGAAGCCCCACGCAAGGCAGAGTGAAGCTAAAGGTCCTCTGAGCACAGAGAGCTTAGAAACAAAACTTGAGTCCTCTGATTTGCAGGGCCCCACATCGTATTATTTCCTTGTAAGCCACAGAGGTTCCTGCTTCCTCTGCCCACGGTAAAGATGAACACGGCAGAAGTTCCCACACTCCACATCACCCTACCCCAAAATTCATGTCCAAAAAGTACCTTTTACTTCCCAGAGGACCAAATCCACGTACACTAAGGGTTATAAGCTGTGAAAAAATATTTTCCATTTGATATTTCGCTTGTATTTTCAATGGACTATAAGAAGAGATGAAGGACAGAAGTAGAGGGGGAAAGTGAATGCAGTTAAATTGCAACAGGTATTTGCTTCGCTTGAGAGGATAGAGAAAGGGAAGAGAAGGGAAAAGAGAAAGGTTAAACAGAAAGTGGCAGGGGAAATAGAAGGGAAGGAGACGAAAGCCACAAGGGTGGTGGGGGGAGATTGAAAGCAGAGCGTCCTGCCCCCCTACGTGGCAGTCAGACAGCAGGGCCAGGCTTCAGAATGCCCCAGGACCAGGCTGTGAGCACTCTAAGTGCTGGGGGCGGGGGGTGCAAGGCGGGGGACATTGTCATTTGCATGAAGATCCAGCTGCGACCTCGGACGTCCCGTTGGCCCCATTTGCAATGAAAACCATGCCCCTTTCAGCAAAACCTTCCACCAGGGCATCCTCGGCAGAGACAAAGCAGCAAATCCCAAGAGACTGAACCAGCAAGTGTGGGCAGCTGGGGGGTGGGGCGGGGCTGTAGCTTTTGGAAGGAGACTGGTGGAGAGAGGGCGAAAAAGGACCAGAGATAAAGACAAATGTGGCCAGAGGAAGTTTGGAAAAAAGCAGGGCCCACTGTTCTGCTTCATCCTAAAACAGAAATTGCATTCAAAATCTCATGTCTAATACTAACAATAGCTGTGATTTGAGGAAGCCCAAGATAATTCAAGCAAGTGGTGGGCAAAACATTCTAACCTGGAGGACACCGATTCCAACTATCCAAAACCACATGAAACTCACACTAAATGACCAAAATGTCCGTGCGATTTCCGCATCACCCCGTGGTCCCACTTCAGCCCACACCCTATGTGTGCCACCCAAGAATCTATATGCCTAAAAATCTGCCCTCCACACGTCAGTCAATAAACGACTTACACTGTCTCTTTGTACCCTAAAGGCTGTTGCTCTTGAAAATCTCTCTTCTGCCTGCTGACATGCTCCTCTCCCTTCTCTTCCCCTGCCTGCCTCAGACTTCCTGTACTTCCGCTCTTGCTGCACACCTGAACTTTAGTCCTTCCCCAAAGGTGAGTCCTTCTTCTCCGTGGCCATCTCCTGCTTTCTCTGACTTCAACCAGGAACCCAGGCAGAGACTCCTCTATCTGCTTCCGGCCCTGGTCAGTTGCTAGCCCGGCCCAACTATCTGCTGCCAAGTGGATGCTTCCTCCAGATGGAAGCCTCATGAGTGCTGCAAATCCGAAATAGAGCTACCACCTTTCCTCCCAAACCTCCTCCCACAACTGCCCATTCTTTACGGCGCTATCATTCCTTAGTCTCTCAGGCCATAAGCCCGTCTCTTCCATGTCACCCCCCCAAGAGATGAGTCACTGAATCTACCAAGTCTATCTCCATAAAGCTCCTCATCCTGTCCCTTCCTTCCCCAGGGCCCTAGCTCAGGGCCAAGGCCTCTCGCCTAAACTCTTCCGGTGGCTTCCTCCGTGTCCTCGTCCTTTTCCTACTCATTCACAGCTTTGTCATTAACTCTTTCTAAATACAAGCCCGGTGTCATTCTGCTCCACACTGACACTCATGTTAAAGTCCCAAATCCTCAAAATGGAACTTAAAGTTCTCCACTAAAAATAAATGACACATCTATATTTCAATACTTTCCTTATTCTCCTCATACTTTAAAGAGCTTCCATATTCTACTTCTACACATCTTCCTCTGTGTCTTTGAGTTTTTACCGATATACAACAGTTGCACATACGCGTGGGGCACATGTGATACCTGGGTACATGTATATGATGTTTAATGATCAAATCAGGGTAACCGGGATATCTATCAACTCAAACATTTATTCTTTCTTTGTGTTGGGAACATTACCATTCTTCTCTTCTAGCTATTTTGAAATATGCAAGTAATTATCGTTAACTGTAATTTCCCTGCTATAGTGTGGAATGCAAGAACTCACTCGCTCTAACTGTACTTTTGTGCCCACTAACCAACGTTTCTTCATCCCCCTCCCATTCCCATCCCCTTCCCAGCCTCTGATAACCACCATTCTACTCTCTACCTCCACGGCATCCACTTTTTCAGCTTCCGCATCTGAGTGAGAACGTGTGATATTTGTCTTTCTCTGCCTGGCTTTCCCCTGATTTTCTTAGCACACATTCTCATTCTCCTGCCTCCAGATTTCCGTACAACTCCCTGCTTGAGCTGGAAGAGCCCTTTCTGTTCCTGCCTCCCTACTGGAGTCCTGTTCATTCTTCAAGACCCATCTCAAATCCTACTTTCTCAAAAAAGCTTTTCTAAATCTCCACCACCAAACCGACTAAAGGATTTAACGCATTTTGCCTGGTATTAAAGTTAAGACCCACATACTCCTGGAGGTACACTCCTCTGCTAGTGAAGGCCTTCATGCCCATGGCTTTAATAATCTCCAATATCATGACAGCTCCCAAATTTGTACCTCCAACCCGCTGATATTAACAAAGATAGCTACAAGTTACTGAATGTTTCTGAGCTCCTGGCACAGCAGCAAGCACTTATTAAGCATTATTTGATTTAATCACCCCCCCCCATTCAACCCACAAAGTTTTAATGGCTATTATTACTATTCCTAGTTTTCAGAAGATATATTTGGCTTCTTGACAGATTAAGTAATTCACCCAAAGTCATACAGATGGATGAATGGCAGGATTTAAAACACAGGCCTATCTGATCATGGAGCTTGTTCTCAGAACCAAGCATTCAGTGTTTGTGTGCTGGATGAGTAGACAGAAAGATGGATGGACAGAAGGATGGGAAGGTCGTCAGGTGAATGCAATGACAGAAGGAATCAACTTCCTGCCTCTAGTTTTCAATCCATTCTTTAATTTCCTGCCAAAGTGAACTTCTTAAAAAGTGAAAATGACATTTTCGACCATCTTCTTCCCTGGTTAAGCCCCTTCGTGGTTTCCCACTCTCTTAGAATAAAACCTGAACTCCAGGCCACAGCTTCCTCAACTATCTTTCTCCAGCCTACCTCTGACAGCCCCACTGCTGGCTACTCCTCCCACGGACCCTCTGCCTCGGGCATCAAGGCCTTGCTACAGGGCCCTATACCATGTACACTCGCTCTTCCATGCCTTTGCAGTCTCTCTCTCTCTCTCTCTTCCTGTCTCTCTGAAATGCCACCCCACCAATCACCCAACCAACACTTACACCTCAAGATTAAGCCCATGTCCCCTACTCATGCTCTCCCCCAACTCCCATCCTTCTCTATACAAGAAGAAATGTTTGCAGCTATAGCTGTAACTCAGCAAAATCAGTACTAGACTCACAGGATTCCTGAAACTCTTTAAATGTATCCCATTATCCTATAGATTTGGATGTCCTGATGAGCAAATAAAACCAATTCCTACATAGTTCATCACATATAGCATTGTCTCTTTCAAACAAACATTACGATGTGCCATTCATCTGACCCTGCCACCATTATTAATAACCATATTGCATTATATTTCAAATTCTTGGAATTTTAGAGCGAAAAAAGACGTTAGAATTGCTATAGCAAGGGCGGAACCTGGATGATCAGATGTACTGATATCAGATGGACTATCAACCCCCTTACCAGAGTTTAAGATTGGGGCATCCAGCTCTCAATTTGACATGTAAGAAGCCTGAGAAATAGGAAGGTTCGGTGTGTGGCCACGGTGACATAACTTCACATCTGGCTCTTCAGTTCCACAAATATTTCCTGACCACCTGGTATAATGCTAGGCGTTCAAGTTCAGATTGGT